GATTTGCATCCTGCGCACCGCGCCGCGCTTGGACCGAGCTTTGCGTCGTTCGGGCGTTGTGAGGCTTGGCCTCCCAGATGGGGATGTTTTTTGAGAGCTGGTACCCTTTTTGGGGTTGGTCTAAGGGAAGCTGAAAGGACGGCCAGGATTTTTGGGGATCCTCATGTGTTGACACATACCCGAATGGTGGATGTACATGCTAACCTGATCATATGCCTGGAATTGAGCCTCGAAATGGTTGGACACAAATCCCAACACTGTTGCATCAAGTTACCACCATTATCAGGAAACAAAGGATGTGTGGAATCATTTAGACACAGAGGTCCACGACTCAGATTAACGTCGCCGGAGGTGAAGAGCACCGGTGCGCAGTACGCGCTCTGGTCACATGGGAAGCTGGCTCTGGCCGCAGGCAGTGCAACGTTGCGTGGCTTCCGCAATGCTCGGGTTACATGTTGTTTCCCTTGTTGCAAGGAAGGCGGCTCCATGCAAAGGGTGCATGGAAGACCCGGGGCTTGGGACGACGGGTCAAAGACCTGACCTCGCGGAACTCGCCAGGGGTGCCGGAGGAGGTGGTCCGCTGCCTCAGCGACGGTGGAGATCCGCGGAAGGAGCGCCAAAGTTGTGGGAAATCCGGATGATTCCCCATTGTTGTGATGCCTCCCCTTCAAATGGAAGTGTGTTTTCTTGCGGGAACCCTTTACAGGGGAGGCCAAAGGCATGCATTTTGGGTTCCACAGACGCATGCGAATGGAGAATCCGACACTTGGAAGGCCCCCCATTGGTATCGCAGAGCAGTTCCCAGAACCCATCAGAACTGGGAGCCCGTTGACAACCCACCAGGAGCGTTTGGGAAGACATCGGGGAGGGGGGGGGGGGGGAGGAACTCTGAAAAGTGTCCCGCGAAACCCGGGAGACGGGACTTTAAGCTGATATCACCATCACAACTCGGGCAGGTGAAGGTTTGGCCGCCCTTTTCATTCTTTATTTGCTTTTGAGTAGGCCCCTTTAGTGCCAGGGTTGATTGTCGAATCAAGTCGGAAGATGCTCAAAACCCAAAGGTAGTCTTTTGGTTTAGGAGAAAGTTGCTACCCTGCCAGGGAAATCGGAGCAACACTGACACTGCAATTGGTTTCTTTGGTAACAAGTGTTTTGGCACAATATCCAGTCTACGGCTGGGTACTCATCACATGTCCGGCACAAAGACCAGGGGGGGACTCTAGTGTCCCAAGTTCCAGCAATTAATGTTGACCCCGGAGTAATATGGGGATGCCCCGTTGTGGTCTACTTAGATTCGGGGTCAACCTCCCGTGCAGGAGTGCGGCTCCTTGCTGCGCGAGGAGAACGCCGCGCCGTTCTCAGCGAGGGAGGGGGAAACAGGTGTGTTTTCTTAGGCTACTCGTAGCCCGTGGTGTATTAAACTGGCCCCTTTTTGCAGGATTCCTTGCAATGGTGTGTGTGTGTGTGTGTGTGCGCTTTTTGGGGGTTGGTTCACAAGCCGTACCGTGACACACACCCAGAAGGGGGGTTTGGGCCGCGCCCCTCCTCTGTTGCAGCGTAGCCATGTTTGGGGAGTCAACCACTATGTCTTTTTGGGGTACCCTTTCTCAACTCACACGAAGCCACTCATGTTAGGGGTCCCCCATTTAGAGCCTAGAGACAAACGCAAAGGATGACCATTTGCCAAGAAACCCATTCTAGATTGGGGAGAGAGTTGACCTCCTCTTGGTCTCCCATTAAAGCCAGCCAAAACCGACATGCACATTTGTTCAAACCCACCCGCTGACCAACTGAGGCTCTGGCGCTTTGCGATGAGCTTTTGAAGCCGGGCATGGCCGTCAGCGAGGCTAGGCCTTCAAACAATTGGACAGCCTGTCAAGAATAGTGATGTTAAGCAGGCTGTCAGAATTTGGGCTCCTTTCTGGTATCCTTAAAACGTGGCACATGGCATTCCAAGGTGCATCTGCTTAAGAAACAGCTTTAATGACAAAACTGCAGCCGGTTGGGTTGGGCGGCGATTGGGATCCTTGTTTCGACTATTTCTGAGGGTTGTCAAAGTCAGCAACTGTTGTTTCCCTTTCACTTGCAGTACTGGAGGGGGGGCTGACTTTGCAGAGGGTAAAAAAATGTGAGGCTTGTTAGTTCCTTGGCTTTGACAAAAGCCCAACTATGTCTTCACAATCAAGCTCGGATCGACATAGAGGCAAGGGCAGTTTCCATTTGGTTTAGGTTTCCCGGGCACGCTTGTGGATTACTGACATGTTTCCGCGATAGCCATGGAATCCTTTTCAAACTGGCAAAGTAGTCAGAGGAAAGAAGGTCTCCATTTTGAATGTCACAAAATATTGCTATTCCCAATGCAAAAGGGGACCCCCGAAACGAACACCGCCCCCCCATTTTCGTCGAAGCACCCGTGAACGTCTGGTGCAGGAGACCTACGCTTCGGCCAAGGAGGCCCTGGGTGAGTGCTTCACTTTTGAGGCCGGGGTAATGTGAGTGGTTGGATGGGGGGTGGGGGGTGGGGTGAGCTGGGCGGTGGGAGGGTTGGGGTGGTTTTCTCCCGGTTCCCCTTCCAAACAGCCTGTCTTTGTTCAAGTAAAGAAGGGGGGGGGACACGAAAGCGGCCGGTTGCCTGGAATCAGGTCAGACCACTGGACCAAGGGGTCCCAAGTTCATAAACTTGGATTCGCGGGGGTGTTCTTCCAAGAGTGAGAGGGTGCATCTCATGCAAATCAACCGGGGCTCAGTCTGTGTCTGTGCGTCTGTGTTTTTGAGGGTACCCCTCTCAGGTAGGGTCACACGGAAACCAACAGGAAAGCTGAATCCATTTTGGGGGGACTGCCTAGTTTGACACCTACCCGTGTGGCTTCTTTGATATTGAGCTCCCAAGCGCACCGAAAACGGTTAACCCTCAAAATGGCGGTCCATTTCTATCTAGGAGGTGTCCACCCGCAAACCACCTGCCGAAAAACATGTGTATGCAACCCTTATCAAACTGGGGAAGATCCCTAATCCTAATCCAGAACCCGTAGGACACTGCATGCGCAACCTGGTGACGATCTGGGATTGACAGTTGATTTTGAACACACACACACACACACACCGCACACCGCTTTTGGACAGTTTGAGGGAAACTAAGGTAGACCCGCCTCCTTCTCGGAAATTGACGCAGGGCAGCATCTTACAATGGCTGTATAGTGGTTCTCCTTTTCTTTGAGGGGGGACAATAGCTAGTCTAACGCCTCCGGCTCAGACAGCCGACATTACAGGCCTGCTTTCTCATACGTGACGATGTTGCCCTTTGAAATTATCCCGCTGGAAGTGTTCCTTTGGAATTTACCCTTTGGAATGTTCCCCCTTTTTGCGCCTGGATTTTACCCTTTGGAATTTCTCCATTGGACTCCCATTGGAATTCTCCCTTTGGCAGTTTCCCATTGGAAGCTTGCCATTGCAAGGCTCGCATTGGAGCTTTCCCTTTGGAGTTGTCCCTTGCATGTTCCGTTTGGAAAGGCTTACGTGCATCAGCCATTGCCAATAGATTTGTCAGGTTTAAATCCATTCACATTTTCGGATTTGTAAGTAAGATTTTAAGCAATTGAGATTCTAAGAATTGAAGCCCAAACTATTAAACTGCTTGAAACCAATCAGTTGTTAAGACTGTAAGCCATGAATAGTTTAACACGTTAAGCCACAAAGATTGTGAGCCGTTCAGATGTTTCAGAGTTTAATCCATTTAGATTTTGAGGTTTTCAGGCATTTTTTTAAAAAATATGTTCAGCTTATTTTGACACGTTATGCCACTAAGATTTGAAGATGTTCAGCTATTCTGTGTGTGTGTTTATTAGTTGTTGTTTTGTAAATCCGGTAAGATGTTGAGCCAGCAAGATATTCGCACGATAAGCCAGTAAGACCTTAATGTTTCACTCCATTAAGATTCTACTGTTTGAAGCCATTCAGATTTGAAGATGTTAACTAATGTTGACCCAGGACTATATTGAGATGTTATGCCAACAGGTTAAAGCCACATAGATTTTGAGATTGTACGCCATTCGGGTGTTTTCCGTTCAGGTTTTCAGCTTTTCAGTCATCAAATAGATTCAAGATTCTCAACCATCAATATGTTAACTCGTCAAGCTACGAAGATTTTAAGATGGTCAGCCTTTGCGGTTTTGGTCATTTAAGCAATTAAGATGTTAATAGCTTACGCCATCAAGATGCTCAGACTTTAAGCTAGTACGATTTGGCCACTAAGATGTTTTCAGTGTTTAAGGCCTGAAGCGGTTTTCAGAATTTAAGCCATTAACAATTTCAGTATTAATATCTAAACATCATATTTGCTGAACATCTTGAGTACAAGACACGAATAGGGCCTTCATTTGACCCCTGTGCTCCTGTTTTTTGCCAACCAGATAATGCTGGTGATGCTGGCGATGTTGCGCTGGGACCCAAGGTCTCTACGCAACCCAATCCGTATGAAAGGATTCAATCTACAAAAAGCTTGGAATCACCGCGTGGCACCTGGAGGTAAGGAGCATGTCTTACGTCCAACACGCCGTCTGTTGTCGGCGGATATTGGTTACAGACCTCCTTGTTTGGAAAGGTGGAAACCATCATCCTTGAGTTCGACGACTCCAGGTGGCGACCACTGTGGGCTTCTATTTGCTGCTGAGCGCCTCGCCTGATGTCCCCCCAGAATCAGCCAACAGCATTTAGATATTGTAACTACATTCACAGATGGGCATTTGTGCATGCATGATATATCAATTTGCATGTACTTGCTTGCTCGCTTGTTTGTTTGTTCATGTATTTACTTGTTTGTTAATGTATGCGTTCATGTGCAACCAACTATTGCTTCAAGCAAGATTGTATGAATGGCACATGATGAAGCACACGCTCCAACTGTATATATATATATATAGAGAGTTACCTTCCGCAAGCTTAGGCTAGGCTAATCATATTGCTTCAGTGCAGTTTGCACGCATTGCTTATGATTCAAATTAGAGACACTACACCATAAGTCAACACGTTCTCAAGCATCTATAAGTATATCGAAGAAACTTGTATGTCTATGCCAAGCAACAGGCTATGCCATTGTGATATCTCTACTCGGGAGGTTGCTGGAAAGCTTCCCAGTTACCATCAACAAGAATCAAACCACCAGTCCAAACCACTTGGGTTGCCTCAATTGGATAGCACACATTGTGCGTGCATCTCAGCAATGAGGGGGCCCCCAAAATGGGTGTGTGTTTCCTCTCGCTTTTCCTTTCAACCACCCCCAAAAGGGTACCCCTAAAAGAGCACGCGTCCATATCTTCCCGCGTGCTTCAGACTCGCTTACCATCCGCTTCCATCGCAGCCCCCGGCTCAGCGCCTTTGCGCGCTCGATGCCATGCTGGCGCTGGTGGCGGGGTCTCTAGCAGCTCGGCCGTTTTTGCCGTAGGTCCTTGGTGGATACGTGGTGGTTTTGGAGGGCTGCACTTTTTTGGGGTTCACCAGAAGGTAAACCCCCACCATTTTGGAGGTCCCGCTATTTTGAAAAAAGCAAAGTCAAGAGTGGCTTTTGGCGGAACGAGGTATTTGTGTCGAGAATGTCATTTTCATGGACCTATCAAGGGGAGCTGACCACTTTCTGTGATCCTGTCGGGGAATCCCCTGTGCAGAGACATAGTAGGAATGGGAATCTACAGGCAGGGGTCATGTCCATCCATTTGGCGGCCGGATTAGCTACTAGGCCATACCCTTCCCATTGGTCCCCTTGAACCAAACCAAAACGGAAGGGAGCCCAACAAGTGTTCAGGTCCAAAAGCAGCCTACGCTCCTGAAAAGAGCTTTTGGTTGGGTTCCATTTGATTTTGCACGCAAGTAATAGGGCCTAGAAGGTTCCAATTATCCAATGGTGGGTTTCCACCATTTGGGCGCCCTTCAGGAATTCTCTGCGCAATCGAGTCGAGCTGGCCCAACCTGCGTGTTTCCCAAAGCATTGGCAGATGCTTGTAAAGGACACCGGGCAAACAAGGAGCACTTTGCCGGGCTGCTTTGGACATCCAACCGGAGAGTTGTCGCTGGTCTTCCAGTGTCACCCTTTGACAGGGCCCTTTGCAGATTGAGGGCCTGCCCGTCCGCACGGGCAGCTCCTTTGCCCAACTGAAAAAAGAAGCGGAAAAGCAAAGTTGGGGGTTTTGGGGCTCCCTATGCTTCCTTTGGAAGTTTTTGAACATCACCTTGTGGAAAGTCCACCCTCAAACACCCCCAAACCCAAAACCAGGCTGCTTTGAATCAAAGTTGTCCCCCGAAATCCCAAATCCGACTCCTGTAAGGTGACGCTTCGTCACGGAATCAGCTGAGGTGACCCATGGTGCCTGCCAGTGCTCGGATGAGCACAGACGCTGGGAGAACAAATTCCAGTCGGGGTGCTTTTTTGCCGGCTGAATGCATATGGCTGTGGGTCAAAATTAAACCACCAGGGGACCGCAGGTTTTAGTCCTTGTTTCCATTTACTAGGGTTCCATTTGGGGTACCTATTTTTGACCCACACCCATACGTCAATGTGAGCCATCAACACACCCTACTTGGGGTTCCCGGAGAGGGTCATGGAGCCCTGAACAGGGGCTTTGGACAACCCATGCAAAGTGTCCTTTTCAGGAGGCCATGACCGTGACCCGCAGAAAGAGTTTTGACCATGCGTACAACCCCACAGGAGCTGTTTTTCATGGATTCACCAGTATGGCTTGAGGGGGATGGCCATGGGTTCATACATGGACATTCAGCCATTGATTTATGGGATGAGCAAACAAAGGTGTTGCTATTTTGCCAAACCAGAAAGCAGGGTAATGCGAGAAGTTCAAGCACCAACCAGTGACATTGAAAATGTTCCTTGGATGTTGGAAGGAACCTGTGTTTTGCAAGGGGTTTTCAAAAAATAACTTTTGGAGGGGGTCCCTTGAAGCTACCACTTGGAGGCGGGGTGGCTTGGGAAACGTATAGGGAGCCCCCTGACCACAAGAGTATGAGCGTCACACGTTGGCCAACTTTAGGAGCGGTTCCTTCTGATGTTTGAGGGGTAATCTAGGGATCTCTGTTTTGATCTTCGCCGTGCTGCCCGCAGACGCTGCTTTTGTTTGTTTCTTTAAGAGGGCAAGGTCCCCAGTAACTCCAAAGTACGGACAAAAGTATTGCTTTTGGCAACTTGCATCTGTTCACTCTGTTTGAATGGAGTTCCAGCATCAGGAAGTCTTATTGGTGAGGATGCTCGTCGTTCATGTGCATTCAGCCTGAAGGATGTTGCAGATGTCAATGGCTCTTCTCACCGCCAGACAGATTGATGCAGATGTTCTGAGAAAGCTGAAGACCCGGGTGCCGTTGCAAAGCCCAAATGAAGGTGGAAGCCACCTAAGGAGGTTTGCCCATGCTGCTTTTGAAGTCTGAGGGGCCACGTTGGGCGCGTCGGCTTCACAAATAGCCATGTATGTAGATCTTGAAGGAATGGTTCTGAAAGGATGTAGCATCACATAGCACAAAGCAGTCTCTTCGGAGCTGCTTCCTTTGAATTTGCATACCTCGCATAGACGTGGTGTTGCGTTTCCTTTCTCAATTCAGAACTATTGCTTGAGCAAGACTTTGGGCTCACTAAAAAGCAAACAAGCGTTAACGCAAACCACAAAAGCAAACACACAACAACAACCCCACAAAGCCAGAGTGTTGGACATGCCAAACCATTTCCCTCAGACCTGTTCGCTGTTTCACAGGGGAGGAGGTTGAACATGAGGCGTTACTCGCTCTTGAAACTATGGCTTTAGATAGAAGCACTCAAATCAGAAAACCACTTCTGGGCTTACCGGATGACCAACAAATCAAGGAAAAAAACAAAGCGCCTTCAGAGTTTTGTTTCTGTTTTTTGTAATTGTTCTCCGGGCTACTTGAAGCGCGAAGGCTGTAGACAAACGGGAAAGGCGCTTGCGGAACAATCGCAGGACACCAAACCACCCACCCACGGTTTCTGTATTGTGTCAGCTGCTTGTGTTATGACCTTCCCTATCTTTGTTGGCTGTTTGCTTTCTCTTTGCATGTGCTTGTTTCTTTCGGGGTTTGTTTCGTTTGATGTCTTGTTCTTTATGTGGCGATGTCCGTCCTCGCGTTGTTGTGTGTTTCTGGTTGTTGTTACTTTTCAGGAGTCCCTACCCATTTGGGTGGTTCAGACATAACCTGTTGGACCAATGTTGATTGATTTTTCTTTGGGGGAGATGTTCATAGCGAAAATGTAGGGACCCTGTTTTTCTCTATTTGTGTTGGTGATTGCCCGACTTATGTTGAGGCCGCATAAGTGGGTGTGTATCTCAAAATAGGGCCCCCCCAAAATATGTGACTTGCATGTGGGCTTTCTTCAAACCAACCTGAAAGAGTACCCTCCAAAAACACACACAAGTGGAGACCAAAGAAGTGGAGGCCATTTAGTTTCAGGTACCCCTTTGCTAGTTAAGATATGTTTGAGCTCCCCCAGCTGATTTGAGCAGGATGTCCCGCCCAAACCACCAAACCAAACCATCAACTAGGGGTGCGTTCAGGTCGAGCGTGCGGAGCGCGGGTTTCGGACCTTATCACTCCTACCGATGCATCGGCCTCGGGCCGTGTACTAATGCAGCTGAGTTCTTTGCGCCGCTCAGCTGGCTTGGCGCTTGCGTTTGTTTGTTTTTGAGGGTGCCCTTTCAGCTTGCAAGAGAAGCCGAGAGGTGACCCACCCATTTTGACGGGGAGTGTTACAGGGATTCGAATCCCCTTAAAAGTGACATGGTCATTGGTGTCCACGTTAGATCAGTTTGGTTGAACATAGACAGATTCCGCAGGTGCCTTATTTCGGGTGGGTGAATGATTGTAGATAACCCCGCTACATGGTTGATTCTTTGAGGAAACGAACCGAGGCAACCTTTGCATGGCCTGAAAGGTGGGTTTTAGGTTGCAAGAATGTTTTGGAAAGGCGGCATGTTGCTTTTGGCTGGTTGTGAAGGACATTTCTAAAGAGAAACCTGCCATCGTTCGGGGTCACCTATGTCAGGATTGCATGTTCGCACCCGAGGGATACCTCTCCAAGTCTGGAAATCTGAGGTGATCCTTGGGACTCCGCTGCATCTACCGATTCATCCAAGACCGCGCCTTGGCTGCGACAGAAGGCGAATTCCATACATTGGCCCATGACCTTTTTGCACCCTTGGGGGCTGATTTCCGATCACTAAGCCAGTCTATAAACTGCTGGTTCATATCAGGGGTTCGTATATGGACTTATACATTCAGCCTTTGAGACCTCATGCCGTCGGAATCCAAATCTTTGCCATGCCTCCCCTGTTTGCCCCGCAGAATGATTCAAGTAGAACTTGCGGAGCTGCATGGGAGATGTGAGAACGCACCGTTTGCCCCGCCTAGGTGGGCTGACGTCGTAATTGCTGCCTTTTGAAGCCTCAAACGGGGATTCACCCGCAAGACTCGAGGAAGTGAAGCAGCCAGGGAGAAAATGGCCCCCATTTCTTCGGTTTTCCTTCCAACCCAAGACTTTGCTGGCCCACAGAAAGGAGTTCACCGGGGTTTTGGGAACCAGCTGGGGATCAAGACAAGCTATGCGCCGCGGTTCATAGGGCGAATCCTTCATTCTCTGAGAACAAGCAAGAACAAGGGGGTCCCCTCAAAAGCAAACCATCCCCTTGAGCCGTCAGTCGCCTCCAGGCATCGTACCTGTCCTGGCAGCTGCTGTATTTTTCGCACGGCAACCGCGGCTCGGGGGAAAGGTGCTTCGGTGCCCCGAACTCCATACAGGTTTCCCTTTCACTGCCAACAAGAAGAGAGTTCTGTCTTCAAAACAACATAGAGCCCAAAAAAGAGGCCCCCCAGAAGATTGCTCTAGTGATGGTTTATTGGGGGGTAATCCTGAGAACCATGCTGGCCCCGTTGAGTTGGGAATCAGCTCATGTCGGGTGGATGCTTCGGGCTAGTTTGGTTCTCCGGATAAAGTTGGCACGAGGAGTTCCCCCCCTTGATGCAGCAAACTGACGGGACACCAACCAGTCGAGCGGTCTTTTTAGTTTTATTTCATACCCCCAAGGTGTTTTTTCCTTTCCAGACGACCTTGGGAAAATGTATGGGTCCCTTTTTTGTGTAGATTTCCTCTTGGTATGCAAGACTTGTCTTACAAGAGGTGCCGAGCTTGTCCCAGCCTGTTTAGCTGGGTATTTTTTGGTCTGATCAAGGACAGTCATGCGCGCAGAGGCATTCTTACCGATTCTCCATTCGAGGGCGTGTTTACAGCACACACACACACACATGCACACAAACACACCAAAGCAAAATCATAAATATGACAATTGGTTCTTTGGGGTTTGTGGTCCAAGGGTCAGGTAGTGAAACCTTGGAGTGCTTGAAGAGAGCAACATCGCTCATGGCTTCGGGCAAATACCCAGCAAACAGCCAGGTGGTTCCGCCTTGCACTCATCGGCTGTGAGTTTTGGGGGCAATATCCTCGAACTTGTGCTTAGTGGACACATCCCATTTCCCATGATGCCTAATTAGACTGATGCCCCCAATGATGTCCACCTGGCTTGTCCGCTACTTGGTTAGATCTTTAGCCTTTAAACTTGCTGGGAACATGTGTATTTTCCCACGAACCAACAAAAGCTTAAGCTGTTTGTGCTGGGGACCATAGCCACAGACACAGCGGCATAGCTAAGGTGCACTCTTAGAGGACGGCAGTTCTGAAGGCTCGGGCCGATCGAGAGACGGCGTGAGAGCCGCGGAGCCTTCAGCGTATACCTAAGCCCTGGGTTGCCAGGAAGACACCTGGGTGTCACCGTGTAGTCAAAAAACGGAACCCTTCCCTCTCTTGGGGGACCTTTGGCTGCACAGCCTCGAGACCGCCTCTAAATGGGGGAGGACATGTGTGCGTCAGGCGGCACGCTGGGGATCTTGCTCACCTGCTTCACTGTGCTCCTGGCAGTGGGGAACCCCGGATCCAGTATTCCAACTGGTTGTGTGTTTGTCTGTGCGTGGGCTTCTTTTGGTTAAAGTGAGAACACCAAAACCAAGTCCTTTCGAGGGTCTCTTATGTTGACATATACGAAGCTCCTGTTCCCCTCGTTTGGAGTTGAAGCATCATCCTTGGGAAAGGCTGAGCTAGTAAGTTTCTGTCTGGTGAGTTGCTTTGAGTGAAGCTGAGCACATATGCACTTGTGAGTAGGCTTTGACTCAAAGACCATAGCCATGGTTTGTTATTGCCACAAACTTTGTCGCAACCGACTTGTTGGAGAAGAAAGCATCACAGCACGTCCGGCGTTTGGGAAGCCCTAAGTCATAAAACTGGCCATGAGCCAACCTCCAGCAAGAGGTCGGTTCCTTTCGAACAGGGCCGCAGTGATGTTTTGAGGGAGCACATGGGCCACGGTCAATATTTGTTGCGTCCGCCCTTGATTTTGGGTGAGCAACCTCCCCCATGTTTGGTGAGTGTATCCAATGTCGACTGCAGTAGATGACGGTAAATATAGACATTTGCCCTTGAGCCAGATCCGGCTGGAGTTTGATCTGGTATCGGTTATTGCAGGTTTGACGCCAAGGGATTAGGGACGTTGGACCCCGCCATGTCCCACGAAAAAAAGAAAGATGGATGAATGAGCGGTCCGCGGTGACTGTTCGTGCTCGGGGGTGAACGTGAACCGATCAAGGGTGTTCTTCCCCCCGCCCCCGACAAAAAAGGAAGAAGAACAGAAATTCATGTTTGGGCAATGATTGACCTGATTTTTTTTGGGAGCGTTTGTGGGTGTTGTAGTTTTGGAGGAATCCCCAACACGAGTATTTTTTTCAGTTTCCTTTTCCAACAAACCCCAAAAAGGGCAACCTTAACGACCCCCCCCCCCCCACCCCCCTCATGTAGTTGGACCTGGAGCTGGCGATCCCACATTGGCACCTCTAGCTCATCTCCAGAAAGCCAAACGAAACCAACGGTTTGCAGGGCTGGGACGTTATACCAAGAGTTACCTAATTGAGAGGAGGGAAGTTGCCAGGGATCCGAAAACCCCCCTTTTTTTGGTTCGGCTCCCTCCCATTTGGGACCTGAAACCCCCCAGCTCCGGCTCGAGCCTCGCGCCTGGCGAGGTGTGCGTCTGCCTCTGCGCCTGGCGGAGTGCTCCGGAACCCGGGCCCAAGCTACCGCCAGGCGATGGGCGAGGGCTCATCGGGGAAAAGGCGCGAAGTTCGGAGGGATTTTCGGTTAACACCTAGCACACCGGCTTTGTAGCAGCCTCGAGTGGTTGGCCCAGAATGAAGGGGCGAACAAGTTCCCGTGGGAAACTAGAAAGCCAAGATGTGTCTTGGGTTTCCTTGAGTTCGCCCCTGAAATACACAACCGCACAGGTAATTACACTTGAGAAAGACGAGCCCATGTGGGCGAGGGTCTATGTTGCCTCCAAATAGTAAACCCGGGGTGGGTCACGTGAAATTGGTCAGGAGTCCAACTCTGTTTCCTTGTTTGGTGGGTTCTTAACACCTGTTTGGCTCATTTAGGCGGTGATGTGTTCAGGGCATTACGGGGAGCCCTGTTGGTGGGTTAGAATCCAGTACATGTCTATGTTGGGTGCAAGCACCATTTGCTTCCAGTTGTCCTTTCTCCCCAAACCATCTAAGTAGGGGATAAACAGAAACGGTAGCAAGGATGTGCGAGGAGTGCGTCGGCACGGGGGTATTTCAGGGATCACGTACGGTGGACGTTGCATATGTTGGTTTATTCCTCCGGGGTCAGTGGAGGGTTTCACGGATTTGCTTGCCGATTTAGCGGAGACTGGCCGACACACGCAGCCATCCCTGCAAGCGTCAATGGCGCGCACTGCCATACAGCCCCAAATTGAGGCTAGGGATGGGCTGCGAGGGCCCCTTTTCGGCATCCCTTTGAAAAGGCAACACCTTGGGCGGCAGGGTTGAAAAGGGGGCCATTTATCGACAACCCCCTACCTTTGGTTGAACAATGATAGTGCAACCATGGAAAACAGCACCGTTGTCACCAGAAAAGCCTGTTTGGCTGCTGTGTGTTTTACAAAGGGGCTCCCCTCGCAACTGGCGATCATGTGCTTGCCACAGACTAAGCGCTTCGGCACCCTGCCAGCGCGGCACAAGTCTACCCCTTCGCCTTGTTTAAATCACTAGCACAAACCAACTCCCTTTCTGCGACCCCCGGAATAATAACTCAGTCATCCCACTAATCGGGAGGCGGGGGGTCACCAACTAGGGGTTATCCGGGATTGACATTACTTTCAAGAAGGGCTGCACATGCAACGAACCAAAAGAGAGCGTTTGACTCTGTTTTCTCAGGTAGTGATATAGAATCTCCCTTTGTACCCCAACAAGCTATTGCCCTTTTGGCTTTGCGTCGGGTCAGGCCCGTCCATGCGGCCGACGCTGGAACCGTCCAAAGGGAGACCTTCGTGCTTGTCGTTTGGCCGAGCGACGCGCTGTTTCGTACATCGCTTTAAATGCCGATGTAAGGTGTGGTAGGGAAACACCGGGAGCCTTGGGCAAAGGACCGAGGGGTCAGATTTTCAGAAAGGCTTTACCACCAAGTTCCGGTTCTCCAAATGAGGCGGTCAATCTTCAAGTACTCAAATTCAATATGTGAAGACTGAACCATGTCCTTGGTCATCATGTATATTCCAAGTGGCTTTGATACGCTGGCAATGAAATGGGCACGAAGTCAAGTTGGTTGGACATCATTTATAGGCTTATGTCCGTCGACGGTTTCTAAAAGTGTTCCGCAACAAAGCCAAACAATGTGGGAGGAACTGTTCAAATGGTAGATACTGAGGTTAGGGATGTGAACTGTGGGTATTTGGAGGGTCTTGAGGAGCTACGATCCTTGCAATCACAGCCCAATACATGGCAAGCTCATGCGGAATTGTTGCAATCTCACCATCGTCTCGAAATGGCTGCCTCCTTTTGGGGTCCCTTTTGAACCACATCCAAGAGGGGTAGCCTCAAACCAGGGAAGCCCCCATTTTGGCCGTTTAGGGCATCAGGGGGAGCTGGTTGTGCAAGGTTGTCCGTGTGGGGATTCCTTGTTTCGGCGTAAGATAGAACGCTGTAGATGGCGCCAAATTTCACACTTGTCCGACCCAGATCACAATAGGTGACATTGGTCCCACCGGCAAGGCCAAACGCATGTCATACTCAGATACGCTACCTCAGTGTGATCACGCACCCCGAAGCAATCCTTCCCCCCCCCCTCCCCCTCCCCCCCAAAAAAGAAAGGGGGACAAAATGAAGAAACAACGAAGAGGACTTCTCAGTAGTCCAAAGTGACAACCATTTTTGGTCAAGGCCATCGGTCCCAAAAGGCGTTGATTTCCAGGCGATAGAGTAAGCCGCCATGGACACCAAATCTATTTCAACCCACACTGATCTCGCCAAGGAGAATTACGGAATTCCTTTCGGGCTGAGAAAAAGCACCACCAAGAGGAACCCCATCTAGTGGCCACCAACACGTGATGTTTCAGCAGGCTGGAAAGGAACATGGGCATGTGTCAAAAATGGAGGGCCGCCCAACAACAAATGGTGGTTTCCAACTTGCAGCCGCCCAACAAATGTGTGAATTTTCGGGGTGTTGGGAATGCCAGCGGCGTTCCGGAGACCCGAGAGCTGGGCCCCCCGTTGCCCAGGTCGCCCATCCCCCAGGCGCCCTCAGAGGCGGAGCGCTCGGAGAACTCGGAGCCGTCCGCCTTGCCGACGGCCACCCGGGTCTTCAGCGGGCGGCAGGCGGCGATTCGGCGAAGCGGCGAAGCTTTCCCTGGGTCTTCGCCGCGGTTTGCTCGACGTTGGTTTTGTTTACCTCGCCTGTTCAAACAGTTGTGACCCGTCTGTGTTTCTTTGCCATTCATAGTTTGCGTGTGTGTTTATTTACCAGCTGTTCCCTTTTTAAGCCGTGAACCAGAGTTATCTTTTCAGAGGGCGGGTCGTCCTGGGGGCTGCGTTTTTCAGATTCCTGGCGGCTGCGTTTGTTCCTCTGATTGGACTCGCTCCTTATTTCATTCTTGTTAGTTTTAGTTACAATTTAAGTTGAACTTGCTACATACACTAAGTAGAATTCACAAGAAATAACTTCGAGGTCCCAAAATTGGTTTAAAACGCGTTGGTTGAATGTCTACTCATTTGCAAAGCCGATTCTGTTGGAAAGGAAATCCTGTGTAGAAGTTATATTGACACAGATTCATCATTCATTAAATTATATTTCAAAAAATGGGTTGGATGACACCCCGAATCCATTTATTTGGATTTAGGCCCCTGCACGATATGAGGCGACCTTTGAAGACAAATATCTCTTACAAATAATATTTAGTTAAGTGCCGTATTAATCTACAACAAGTCTAGCGTGAAGTTTGCTACGATGGGCTTGTGCTCTTACGGGGCACACCCTGTCCACTTAAAGGGAAGCCAAAAGGAGGGTAAACATGTCAGGTGTTCCCCGGGCTTGTCACAAACCCAAATCTGCAAGTGTTGCAGGCAGGCAGAAAGGCCTGCATCATTGGTTTTCGCTCAGTTTACTCCCGGATAGGTGAGCTTGCCGTTCAATTTTCCCACCAAAAGCATGGGATGGAACTCTCAGGTCCCATGTCTTCGCGTGGCTCAGGTCTCAAAATGAGTGTCCGAAGCCTCTCCTGCTGCCTTTTTCGAGACTTTGACACAACCGCATGGCGATTCGTTTCAATGCCTTGCAAGTGGTGGGCATCAGTCCCCCTGACGGTATCCACCAAACTCTCCCCCCAAAAAAAAGAAGAAAAAAAACGCACATTTTCATGACCCATCTATCTTGGCCTTAACCCCCAAGCAACTCAGGTAGGCACCGAACCAGCGCTTTGGGCCTCGCGCGCTTAACGCGACCGGGAGAGGTCTGCTGCCCAGATCTGATGGTGCCCCGCGGCTCACAGAGCGTGCTGGGGGTGCCGAGCCTCAAGGAGCAGCGGGCCCAGCTTCTGGACGTGGTGGACCCGAGACTTCGCGAAACCCACCGTGGTTCGGAGGTTTTGTTGAGATGATGTTAAAGTCTTCTTTGTGAAACCCCCGTAATTTGGAGGTTTTTGTTGGGCTTGATGTTTGTTTGTGTTTTCATGTTTTGTTTTTGTAGAATCAGCCTACCACCAGCATCGCGGAATTTGATCGATGGCCTTTTCGTTGGTTGGTTGGTTGGTTAGTTGGTTGCTTGCTTGCTTGGTTGGTTGGTTGGTTGGTTGATTGGTTGGTTGGTTGATTGGTTGGTTGGTTGGTTGATTGGTTGGGTGGGTGGGTGGGTGGGTGGGTTGTGTGGGGCTGGTGGGTGGTTGTTCCCCTTTGGGTGGCTCTTAAGATCCAAAAGGGGTTAATAACCAAAAAGACACATCCAGTTGTTGAACTCGCTGCTTGGCCTTGTTTGGCTTTTCTGGCCTGCTGGGAATGATCTTCTAGGGATCCATTTAGATCTTCATGTGTGCTTTACATGTGTCCTTCATGGAAATTGATTGGAGGTGGCACATTTGAATCTGGATTCCTTTCTGGTTTCGGTCTCTGGCCCTTCCCACACTTTGCTGGCCTAAGCTTGGCAGCCGGGTCGTGGTTCGGTCCCCGCTCGGCGGAAATCCAGTTTTGGTTAATCCGGACCCGGCCAGGCCTGTCCTGGTAATTTAACGTGGTATATATTTTGTTCGTTGGATGTTGGGCCGGAATGGGAGGTGCCAAACGATTATTTGGAGGCGTCTTCTGGCCAAACCTTGTGGTTGCTTGTTGTAAAATACGGCGTTATTGCGGCATTTTTTGTGCCCGCCAGATCTAGGAGCCGCCTTGCGCCCCTGCCCAAAGACATTGGAACCTCTGCCGCTTTTGTTGGTTTGTGGTTGCCTTAAGATATTCCTTGCGACACCATCCATAGGGGTCCCACATTTTGGGGCCACATCCTTCTCTCCCAAGGAGCGCAGGGCTATTCCTTCCGCAGGGGCTGCTGCCAATCACTTTTCCGTGATGCCTTTGCTAAATTCAATTTGTCCTTGTGCAGCCGCATGCATGCTAGTCCATCATCCTGTCGTTGGCCGCCCAACTCAGGATTGGCATGCCAATCCTGAAGGTGGAGGTGCTACGTGCACAGGACCAGGGTGGCAGGGTTGTGCCAGCCCCCTTTTCCAACAGGGGTGTGACTCATGATGGAGCAGCACCTCAGTGGGGACCACGGGCCGGCCGTAACACAAGTCGGAGAACACTACACCTCAGATTGCAAAAGCTTCGTCTTGCGCGAGAGCAAATTTGGATGTTACGCATGTTGCAAGGACCCCTCGCCCCGGGTGTCCTTGATCCAGTCGGCCTCCTCCCCGGGTTCCGCCATCTTGCCACCCGGAGCGACCCGGCGCCCGCTGCTGGCCCTACGAAACCTGCGCCCGGAGGCTGGGGCCAAGCGAGACTTCAGGGTGGCCAAACCACCATGGCGAAGTCTGTTTGACGAGGTATGGTTGCCTGTGGAAACCGCTTGAAATATTTGGGCCTTTGGGGTCCAAGACGGAAAGGATGCCGCACCGAAATTTGACCGGCTCACCCATGTTTTGCAGGGAGATGTTGGGAGTCTCTTTTTGAGGCGATACATGTTCCGTGTCTTTCTCTTTTCTTCGGGGAATTTTCTGCGTGACTTCCCGGAAGCCAGCCTTTCGAGGGCCTGGACCGGCGCCTGGGCAACGAGCCGAACGCCATGGCGGTGGCCTTTCAGAGGGGCGAGGCCCTGGAGATCTGCACGCCGGAGCTGAGCATCTTCGGGGTCCTGGAGAAGGCGTTTTTGCCCTGTCCTACACTCGTGGTGGGTTTTTGCTAGGCATACCATGGCCTTTCTAATCCACTGAGAAGGCTCCTACCGAGGTCACCCCCACTGAAAGGACACAAAGAAGGCTGTGGGTCCACACCAATGGTACCGTTTTGGGGTAGGTGCACCACCCATTTTACTTACTCTATTTTAGTGGGGGTTGGGATGTTCACTGGGATGTTCACTGGTCACAAAGAAGCCCGGCGGGGGGGGTGCAAGTGGGTTCAGTGCCTTGGGGGGTGGGGTCAGTGGAGAGGTCACCTTAGCAGGAATTAGAATGTGGGAATGAAGCCAGGGAAGTTCCCCGACCGTTCCACCGAAGTTCCCCAGCCGCGTGGGTCCCCGAAAGTTCCCGAAGATTCTCCAGCCACCCCCCCCACTTTGATTCCTCAGCCATCCCGGCGAAGTTCCCCACCGAAAGTTCCCGAAAGTATGGATATCGATACTCAATGGGTGCATAGAAGTCCGGTGGTAGCCTTGGTGGCGGTGAAACAGGTAGCACAAGGTCTGAACTGAGCTGTGGGAACGATTGAAGCAAATTGCCGCATTGATATTGGAGAAACAGTTTTGTAGTTTGTTAGCCTCTTATATTATGCTGTAGGACCCCCTGTGGCTTCCCTGGCAAGGCAAGCTTTCTTGGCAAGCTTTCCTGGATTTGGATTCCCAGATTTGTGGTTGTCCTCGTGGTGTCCTTGGTGCTTTGAAACTTTAAGGTTGACCAGGTATAGTGCAGAAGACATCATTCTTGGCGTGCCCCAAACTTGGCCCAGGTTTCCTAACCCAAGAGGGTACGGTCACCCAACTGATGAAAGGGCAAGTCTGGCCTAGTGCGGCCAAATGTATTTTATGGGACCCCTTTGTGGAGGATTCCATTCGCGTCACGGCCCCCCTGACCACATGTGAGAGGTTGATCAACAGGTGTTGAACTGGCATGACCATTATGGACGAAAAGTTACCCAGGGTCATTTGGGGTTCCCAAAATTAGGGACCCCTTCAGGTGGATGTCCTTTTGATGAAGCCTTACCATTCAAACAGGGACCCCATCGCTCAGGAGGAGAGCCCCATGGGCCTCCGCTTTGTCCTGCGGGTGGGCAGTGAAGCAGTGACAAGCCGCTGGGCTCATCGAATCGCGTGGCCAAAATGAATTGATCCCATGCTTTCTTCCCCCAAGAACGTCCCCCCTTGACGAATCAACAATCAAGAGCAGGACTCACTTGGTGAGTTCCGGGAGTTTCCCTGGAGCTTTTTGGGATCCACTGGAGGGAAGGCCTCCCGATTTGAGGGTCGGCTCCGGTGGGCTCGGTTTGGGGTTTGCGCTCGCCCGGTCGTTTTCAGGTTTCTCTCACCCCAAGGGCACCAGCCATTTTCATGAATCCTGCGGGAAATACGTCATGTGTCACCATGAGACCACAGGTTTAATCCATGTTTCCGTTTGCCAGGGTTCCCATGGCATATATATTTTGACCCACTGCCATGTGTTGTGGGCTCATTTCTGAAGACTTCCGCTTTGGCCATTTTTGGCCTCTCAGGTATCATCTTCCAGGGCACCAGCGTCCACAGCGGGCTGGCGGTGACGGATGCGGCGAACAAGATCCTGGCGAGGACCCAGGCCGGGCGGTTGAAGCTCCCTGGCCGGCAAGCTCCGGAGATCGGTTCCTTTCGGGCGGGATTGGCTATGCTGCGGCAGAAGAAGGATTTCGGATATCCCGAATGGGGGGAGAACCCCTGGCGACCCCTCAAATCAACCTTGAAAGAGGTTCTCCCATTTGGGGTCTCAAAACGGATTTGAAGCCCGCCAAAATGGTTGGTGTCCTTTTGGTCCCCCCGAAAGTGTGAGGGCCCGACCCCACTGCTTCCAGGTTGCTTCTTTCCATGTCCCATGTTCGGAGACTTCCAAAGGACAGCCAGTCCCAGTCTGAGAGATGGGGTTGCCTTTTTGAGGGTACCCGTTCTGAGATCGGTGTGAGGGAAAGCCAAGAAGGATGCCCAGCATTGGGGGCCCACATCCTGCCCAGATGGATGCCAGAGAAACCGTGGCTTCCTCGCTTTGCCCAAAGGAACACAGTCCCAAGCTCTTTCGCCTTTGGGCTCCTCCCAAACGCCTTTGCCCGGGTTCCCCATAGTTCCCCGTTTTAGACATCCCCTTGGTTGCCAATGTACAGTGAGTTCCCTGTTGGAGTGAACGGGGGACATCCGAACGCATGGCTTCTCCCGGTGCCCGAGCGAGGTTCGAAGCGGGGGGGAGGTTTTACAGCCTCCAAGTCCATGCCGGGGTGGACGTTGGGGTGCTGCTGTGCTGCCTTCTCTTCATCGATGGCCTCGGGGCAGGGCTCTTTTGAGCCATCCGTGTCACACCCGACAGCTCCGCGGTCCCGAGCAGATTCCGTTGTGCCTGGGTGTTCCGACCTGAGGAAAGGTGAACAAAGGAAAACAGAGAAGCGCACAATTTTCCCCTGTTGCGCCAAAGAAGGTGTCCGTCTTTGGGAGACCCAGCCACCAGAGCGCCGGCCGATAGCCACCTTTCATAACTCGCTGCTCTCTTTCGCGTGGAGAAAGGCCCAAGGTGTCCGGCATCGGCTCGCAGATGGCGTGTTTTGTTTATGCTGTAAGCAGGTGACAGGTGGTTTGTCTCATATTCTTTGGGCCCCATCCATCCCAACTGATGCAGGATGTTGTCCCGTTAGCATTAGGAAAAACTGTTCTATTACACCCTGGGATTAGGAAAGACCCTCAGGAAATGACTCAAAATGTTTTGAAGTCGTGGGGGTTCGTTGGGAAACAACCGCAGATGAGGCAGGTTTCCAAAATTCAGCGAGGAGGCAAGGTTGGCTGCAAGATTGATTCTAACATCCAGATCGGGTTCAAACAGGTGCTGGTGGTGGTGGGTGTAATTCGTGGACGGTGGGTGGGATATTGTGGTTGCAGCTGTTGGTGTAGCAGCATCAGTCAGGGCACGTGGGTTCTTGGGGTGGTTGCGCCTTGGGTGCTTGGGTGCGGGCTGATTTGAGGGAGCCGCATTTGTCAAGAGGTCGAAGAGCCAGCTTGTGATCATGGACGTGGCTGGGGTTGTCTTTGTGCGGGGAGCATGGTCGTTGTGTCGAAGCGCCGCGGGTGTCATGAGCGCGGCTACGGGGTTGTCGGTGGTAGCCATGGCTTGATTCTTTCAGGGTTTTATTGGCCAACCAGACTCTCAAGTCGAGCTCCATCGACCCCCAAGGCGCTGTCCTGAAGACGTTCGATGTGCGACCTCCGGAGAGCCCAAGTTCCAAGCTGTGAATCCGCGCGGAAAACGGGCGAATCGCGAATCCCTCGATGTGGGCGACACATACGGCAAAAACAATGGGACCCTGGTAAGTGGAAACATGGACCAAAACCTGCGTAACCACCCCTGTTTAATTTTGAGCCACACCCATATACACTGTGCGCCTATGTTTTGTGGGCAACTTGGGATAAGCTTCGGTCCAAATGTCCGGATTTGGGCACGAAATGTCCCATGTCCTCTTAAAAGCCAAATAATTTTGACCGTGGCTCAGATGATGTTGCGCGTGCGTATGTGAATCTCAAGATGAGTAGCTAAAGCCCCCATTGCCGTTGTTTGTTTAATCGGGCTGTTTCTCCAAGTACAGACTATTCGCCTCGCATTTGTTCGCAGGATCCTTCTTTTCACAACATGGCCCAACACCTGTGAGAGTTGTGGTTCCTGAAAACAAATGAGTGAAAAGAAGTAGTGGGGCATCGACCAGAGCAAAATTGGTGTACACAACGTTTACTGTGGGCAGGTTTTCACAAGGCCTTGGCACAACACCGGAATCGATCTTGAGAATCAAAGGAGCCGTGCCCGCAAATGCACAAATGGTTGCGGAGTTTCTACCACAGCGATGTGGCTGTGTTGACAAGCTGGCCCAAGCAATTGTCTCCTCTCCAAATTGACATGACACCCAAGAGGACGGTCTCCGATTGGGAAAAGACAGTCTGCCCATTTTAACCCTTTTCATCTTGGAAACAAAACAGAAAATGAGAGCGCAAGGAGTCTTACGAGGGACAACCATGGAACACCGCAAATGTGTTTGGGTTTGGAACCAGTAGCATCAACGCTCCCATTTCGAGGCTTGGTCAGTTGTTTGTGGATACCAAAAGGAACCCCTTCCCTAGGGTATGTGCCTATTTGCCGAGAATCCAAGCGGGGCAAAAGACGGTTTCTCTGTGAATCCGTTTCCTTTCTCTTCGACAGTGACATGGCGACGAGCCGTGGAAACTTCGCGATGCACGCGCGAAGCGCACTCTATTTTTGCGCACCTCGCTGCTGTTTGGCTCATGAGTTGTTGCATTCATATCCCAGGATCCTGTGGGAGTATGAAGAAGGCCGAGTTTGCAGAGCGGCGGTTGAAGGCGTTCCTCGCTGCGGTGGCGCGATTTCCGCATGGACTGGAGAAAGTTGTCCAGAGGTGGGGAGTGCTTGGTCCATGCCGGGCCATATGCGGACTGAAGTTGGGGACTGGTGTTATTCTGTGCTTGTCTTAAGCGGGATCCTTCTTTGAAGACTTCCTCGGAACAAGCATCGGTAAGGTTTATGGACAATGACATTTGGATCAACGACCACTAAAACAGTCTTCGAAATTGGGGGGCAGGGGGTGGTGGGTGTCCCCAAGACTGTTTGGAGGTTTCCCTGGGAGCGTGTCCTTTCAAGACCAAAGGGGGTTGAACAAGGCCGACAGTTGGGTACCCTTTTCAGGTCCGTTACGCAAAAAGAACAGCCACCATTTTGGGGAAAGGAACCTGTCCGCGCCTCTTGGGACAGAAGCCCAATACTGGTTGAGAAGCCGATCCCAACTGCGAAGTGGGTCTCGTCCATCCGCAGTGTGGTTTTCGGAAGACAAAGAACTGCCCGGCTGGACGGAGCGGCTCCTCGAAAGGCGGCGGGAGGCGTTCTGCGGTGACGAGGAGGCCAGAATCTGGAGACATTGACCGCCCTTGGGACATCGGTTTGGTTAATTTCTTGATGGTACCCTTTTAAAAAAGCTGGTTGTAAAGAGGAAAAGGAGAGCCACTGGATTTTGAGGGTTCCATACGTTGAGACCAAACCCACACATGGCAATGATTTCAGAGAACCACCAGCCACATGTGGTTCCTGGACATGAAACCATACCGAATTCTGGTGTCCAGAGGGTGCTAAATCAAAATTCACACCCATATGGGCAACTAATGTTAGTTTGGGGAGGGCATGGGCCCAGCCAATTTTACTAAGTCCTCTGGACAAATGTGTATTTTTGCCGGGGCATTAGTGCAGAAATGGCAGGGTTCCCTATAAACTTTTGACTTTCCTGTTGTCCACATCCCACAAGGTGAACCTTTTATTTCTGGGTCCTTTGGGCAACTGAGTTAAACGTCGCCTCGGGGAAAGAGGGAGCAAGAGGAAGGGAGCAGAGTTTTCTGCAGCGAATGCGTTGCGACATTCACGCGGCGAACATAGGTTCTTTTGCGCACGTACACGCTGGACATCGCAGGATGTACCAAGAGAGTTGAGAGATTGAACCTCGGATTGTACAGGTACTTAGACCTACCTTCGAGAGTTCCGACTTCAACTGCGGCAAGAACGAGGCGCGTTGAGACCATCTACAGGTTGGCAAAAGGAACTTCAACAAGCATCAGTTTTAGAGGGATCTCCCCAGAGAAAGCATGTTTGGAGGAACCTCAAGAAGCAAAATATGTTCAGCAACCATACAAACACCGTCTCCTACTGAGAGGAACTTCGACAAACATTATTTGTTCAAGCCTGCAGTACGCCTTGTTGCTTCCCCATGTGCAACGAAACATGTTACCATGTTGCATGCTTAGAAAAGGCACTCAGTTGTTCAGAACCGTCATGTTTCTCAGTCAAACTTAGGGCCGTTGGTAGCCCCCTCAAAAGGCAGCACAGCCGAGATCCAAAAAGGGGTGCATGCTCCCCCCTCCCTCCCGCGCGCCCCTGGATTCCAGACAGGTCCCTGTGTTACCTGTTTGTGGGGGCTTGTGAATAATATAGGGACCCCTTACCCAGATTCCAATTCACGGAGCCTGTTTTTGTTTAGCTTCTGGCCAAAATCCAGGTGCGAAGCCAGGTCGTTGGGTTCTCCCAGTATTTGTAGGGTTTCATCCATTCCAAGCGGTGCCTGGCGCAGAGTTCGTTCACTCTCAAGACAGGTGAGGCCGTCCCGGGTCTGCCCCTTCCTGGGGTCGCGAGCGGATGGCCGGCACGTGGAGCGGCTGATGCTGCACCTCTAGCCGAGAATTCGAGTGACGGAGGCGAAGCCACGCAGCGAGATGCCAAGTTCAGGGTTCTCTACAGAGGTGCCCCCTTTTGGTGGTTGTGGGCATCACTTTTGGTGCCAAGGGAACAAGCAGTTCGCACCTTGTAGAGTGGAAGTACATACCCCCCTTGGCTCGGTTGCCAACCTGCTCTTGGGGCACTTAGCCAAGGGATAAATAGGGTATGTACAAATTGCCCTATCGACATACCATTGGACAAATGACAGCAACCTCCGCGAGGTTTGCGACGTCATGACGGTTCAATTCAAAAGGCTATTCGATCTGTGAGCTAGAATTGCCCGGGTATTACCATGGGTCACTGTGATTCGATCTTCCGCACTCTGGCAAGGGTCCACACAAAATGGATTTTTGGGGTGGGTGGCCCACCTAAACATTTAGACTTATGGGGGATTTCGACCACTGGAATGCCACGTGTAGTTCCATGTTCGGTCTTTGGGATCTACACCCCACCCCTGCAGGGAAATCTTTGCAGCCAACTGCTTCCACTGTATAATTTGTTCCGGGTTGCCATCATCCCATGCCAGGGTTTCTGGCCGGCGGGGCAACCTGGACAGTGCTAGCAGATTGGCGATTCTGTCTTCCACCGACATGGCGGTTCGGAGGTTTTGCTACGTTTTACATCGCATGCGAGTACCCGCGCCCACCGTTTGAGCGCCCCAAGCCATTTCCAACTTGCTCCCTAGTAGGTTCTGATGTTTGTTTGTTTTTCCTGGAATAGAGCCTGCAGAAGGTTCTACTTTGTATTGGTTTCTGGCTTGAGGCGAAAAAAGCCTTCATGGAAGGTCGAGTTTTCATTCGCTCCCCGAGAGAAGGGCTTTCGGGCTGTGCCTTGGTCAGACGGCAAAGCTGGCCACAAATAGGTTGTACCGATGGCAATGGGAGGGAGAAGCGTTGTCCACCCACCAAAAAGAGAGGCCACTGCATTTTGGGGGCGCAGGGATTGTCCCGCGAACATTGCTGCACATGGCGGGCGAGAGACCGCGCTACCTTGCCATTAACTAGCCTGCACCTGTTGCGCTTGGCTGACCTGGCTGGGAGTCTTGGGAAGAGGATGGGGTTGGATCCCTCCGCTTTCCAGGCCCGATCCGCGAACCCCGAAAAAGGCGGCGGACGCCGCGTGAATGCTCAGGATTCATTTTGGGCGAACGCAGGTGGGTCTCCCAATAGTCCTCCCAGTTCTCTTTTTTGGGCTCCCACGAGGTGAAGCGCCTTTTGGTTCTAACAACGGTTCCCTTGGCCCGGGCATCGTGGCCAAAATTCAAGGAGCTTCCTTTTGGCTCGGCCTGTGAGTTCTATCTTGCGGTTCGGATGCACAATGTGCCACTGGGGGACAAACCGGTTTGCCGAGGTTAGTTGAATTAGCAATCAGCCTGCAAACTTCAGCACACCTCCCGAATGTTTCTTGGACTCCAAATGAAAACAGTACCCGATCTTCCCTCTGAACAGGGGGCAGATTGAAGGAAGCCTGCCTGCTTAAGCGGTGTTGCTTGCAGCCGTGGGCTCCAGAGCCATCGGATGTTCTGAGGATGGCTCGGCTCCTTGGCTCGAGCGGAAGCGGTAGGGTTGGGTGAGCTGGTAGACGGCGGCTACCAAGGCGGGTCCATTCCCTCTTAGAAGCTCTTGGGGTCATCAGCCCATTCTGCTGGGTCGAATGCCTGAACAGAACGCACGGAGGCTAGAATCAGTTCAAGCGTAGCTTGCAGATTAGGAAAGGAACCTTTCGGGACTGGGCTCCTTGAGTTGCAAAGATGCCCCGATGCCCCTCCAGTTACTCCCAAATTGATCCGTAAGCGCGACACCCCCAACGAAATCAACCACTTGTCTTTTTACGTCCGGGTGTCCCAGACGGGCCCTTTCAGAAATTGTTGGCAGGTTCCAGGGAAGGGCAAGTGGGAACCAGAAAGGACAGGCTCTTTTCCAAGCAAAGAGATCAACTTCAAGTTTTGCACGTGATCTTGGAGCCCGTCTCCAAAGATGACAGATGACATTTGTTCCGGGATCACGCAGGAAATTCCACCTGTTGACCGTTTGGAAGTTGACGCAGGGTTACGACTCGCCAAGAAACAAGTATCACGTTTAGAACTGCCCCCCCCCACCCCCCCCGCCAGTACTTGACCATTATCAGAGTCAGGTGGTAGGTTGAAGGCAAGCAACCTTGCGGTGGATCAATTTGTCTGGAAAACGCTGTGGTTGTGTTTTTGTGCATTCCACCTGTTCCGTTTAAAGGCACAACTTTCCGCAAGGGATCAACCAGGTAGCGCGGAGTTGTAGTGCCCGGGGGCATTGTTCCCCTTTCATGTGGCCTGCTTGGGGGTTTGTCAAGATGGCATGCTTCAAAAACGGTCCTAGGCAGCTCAAGAACGTCTCAGGCTGTCTTCGTGCGCTCTGAGCGTGCCACAAGCGGCCATTCACCAGGTCCAGCCGCCGTGAGCGCCGTGACTTTGCCTGCGGCTGTTGCATCAGAAGCCTTCAGGTGATGCCAGCGCAGCTATCAAGAGGCTGAGTGCCACAAGCAACAAACCGTTCACGGCCAGTTTCTTCCTCGTCCGCCGTGGCCGAACATGACGACTCGCGACGCACCTTGATGATTTGCTTCCTCGCCGCTTGCGAATTGCACAGAATCCTGCTGCTGCCTTGCGCTGCTCCTGCCTGGAGATCAGTGAGCTGAGAAAGGAGACGAAAGCCACTGTTCTGCCATGTTCTGCCCGTGCCTGGATCTGGTTCCCGTGACATGGCGCAGCACTACCTCCTGCCGTCGCTGTGGGCGGTGACATTATCATTCCCCCCCTCCCGCGCACCCACCCCCACCCCCACCCTGTTGTAAAGTCGCTCTTGCAAATTGTATGGCAAGCGCTCTTGCTCCAATACAAGCCGCCAAATCATATGTGGTCAATTCCGCACAGAATGAATTCACCCGTGTTTTTTTTCTCCCCCGCACCAAGTTACGGCATGTTTGCGGCATGTCGAGCTGAGGTTCGTGTTGGGCCTCGCCGCGCTCGCGACTTCGTTGGCCGCGGAGCAGGGCTGCACCCCCGAGTTGCTGCGCGCCGACACCGAGGGCAACTACTTCCGGCTCGTGGAGGCACGGCTGCGTTCCGGGTTCCGGGTTCCGGGGGTGGGAATCTAAACGAGACGAAGAAAGTTGCTTGGTCGTTTCCGCTTTAAAACCTGCCCAAAAGAAGACGCCCTTTTCCTGCGGCCACTGTTGGTGAGTGAGATATGGATGTTTTTTCCACAAATCCGAAAGGGGGCCCTTTGTCTTTGTGAGTTTGCGCAAGAAGATGAAGTCCATTCAAAATCCGTCCCGAAGGTATGGGATGATTGGGGAGTTGTCCAAACCCACACCGAGCAAGCAGAGCTCCCAGGTACTCCATGCCTGACTTGTTTTCTGTATCCTGGCAAGGTTTTGAATGGGTCCCAACCTGTTGGTTTCCCAAAGCAACCCAAAGGTACCGACGCTTGCAGTTGGGCCATGATGAGTTGTTAATTCAGATTCAAGACTAGTGGTTTCTTCTAGGGTACAGGGGGTTCATATGAATAGGTATGAGTTCATATTGACCTTTTTGGTGGACATATGGGGATCCACACCCATGTCGCTTCACCCCCTGAGTTCCTGGACTTTGAGCTTTTGCTGGAAGATCATTTTAGCGGCATAAACTTTGTCTTGCCAATCCACTCAGGAAGTGAGTGGCAGGGTGCTCTCCGTGAAAGTTCATAGCCGAAATGAGGAGCACCCCCCAAGCTGGCATTGGGCCTGCTTTGGCCTCTGTTAACCAGAGGGTACCGCGAGAGCACGCCACTGGTCGGGACAAGAGGTCCCCGGTGCCCCTCAAAGAAGGCCGGGGGGGCAAAAGGAACTTGTTGAACGAGTTTTGGGTTAAGTGCTGCACAGGTGTTTGGCCCAATGAGGAAGGCTCTAACCGCTCTTGATTCGGGTCATGGGTTTCAGTTTGCTTGAGGCTCATCAACCCGTTTGAACATCCTCGCCATGCTTCACCTTGGCGTCCGTTTAAAGACCACCTTTGACAGGCCCATGCTGTAGGTTTCCTCTAGGCATGCCAATGGCGCAAACGTTCTGAATTGGTCATTATCTTATTTATGTATATATATATATATATATATATATGTATGAGTGTTCGAATATGCATACCTCAGGCGATTGCATCTTTCGGGTTTTGGTTCAGCCGCCACAAGGGGGTATGTGGTACAATCGAGATTTGGCCCCCCCCAAAAAATGGTGGGCTTCCGTGTTTCCCTTCAAGCCAACCCTGAAGGGTACCAGCTCCAAAACACAGAAGCGTACCCATGGGGCAGCGAGGACGAGAAGAAGACGACCTGTGCGGAGCTCTCGGATGGGAAGTGTCCTCTAGCAGCGCCGGCGCCTGGCTTCCCTTGCCCACGCCTCAGAGCATCGATGGGCAGCGCCCAGCCCCCGATCAACTCCAATGCATTGAGGTTGGAAGGCTCCTGGTTTTCAGGACCCGATTTCAAAACCCCTCAAGTCTTAAGAACCCCCACTACAAAGTGCATCTTTGCCCAACGGGAGCACCACATGTTGAGGGATCCCAAAAATCGGCAAAAGAAGAAAAAAGGGAGGCTCGCGAATGTTCACAGAAAAATAAGCTCAGGTGACATCCCCAACAGCATGCGGTGCTTCTTTTAGTGCTCGCACAACCCCGCAGCCCTCGCAGAACCTCGTGGAACCCTGCCTCAGGGCCGCCCCGGACCACCCCGGAGCCTATCTGGGCTGAGACCCCAAAGCTTTCAGCTGCTGGGGGAGAAAAAAAACAGGGGACCCTCTAATTGTCCCAACGGGGATGGATGTTCCGTCCCACCGCCGAAGCTCGGCGCATTTCAACGAAGCTCGGCTTTTCGAAACGAGGCCTGGTGAGCTGCGTCGCCTCGGAAGCAGCCTGCGCGGCTTCGAATCCCAACACCCCGGGGGTGAACCACTGGGAGGATCCCCACCTCTGCCGCTCGGAATTGGATTTTGGACGGAACATCCAGCCGAGTCAAAATTTGTTTTGTTTGGGCAAAATGGGTGAGTCTCCTGCTTTTGGGAGAATTGGCGAGGGGGGGTGGGCGGATGGGTATGTAGACTTGAAAGGTTAGCAATTGCTGGGGAGGGGCTGCAAGCTAACTGCGACCTTCTTCGGCACACATGCGTGACTTTTGCAGCGACACAGGAGATGTTCTTCTTCGGATTGCACGGGATTGGGGGGCGGGGTCGAGCAGAACGAATCTTGACCGTTTTCCAGGTTGATTACTTGATGCCACCATTTGGAGAGGATTCAGAGAGGTGTTTTCGTTCCTCTTTCAGGGGTTTCGTGCCTGCCAGAGGCACGAGAAAAGGTCACTCAGTGTTTTTGCGGAGGCAGCTTGCACAAGGTTGTCATTCACTGCCGCAAACTGCCCATGCAGCTGGGTTCCATGTTCTGCGTGTCATAGGCACCCTCTTGTGGTAGCGACCCTTTTAGCAACCCTCACATCCCGAAGCTTGCCAGGTACATCGTGCGAGATCACTGCCTGCAAGTTCTGCACATTTCCGAAGAAGAATGGGCCGGCCCAGTGCGACACCTGCTTTGAAGCTCGGCGAACAAGAAACCACTCCGAGCACGTCTCATTCCGGTCCCCACGCCGAGCTGATTGAATTCTAAACTTGGGTGGCCTCAGTCGACACAAATTTCGGAGTGAGAATAGAGAACCTCAAGAGTAGTGGGTGGACATGAATCCCCCCGTTTAGCACCCAGTAAGGGTGCTGGCGAGGTGGTATTTCCATTTGGATTCGCTCAGGATGGCTTTGAACTGATCGAGTATCCTGACGGCTCCCAGGACTCTCGGCTTGCAAGGGATACAGCACCTTCCCTCTGTTTCTCAAAATGATGGACACCTTGGTTGAAATTTCAAGGGAAACCAACCACTTTAGGGAACCCCAAAGGATTCTAGAGAGAAACCAAAGGGAGTCACCCGTCTTGGAGATTGTCCTGTTCGACCCAGACACATTTGGCTGTGAATTTAATCAGGGAACCACCTCCAAAGTGGATGGACATGAATCCCCGAAGTGATGTGCACCAAGGAAACTATTCAACTTCACGTCCATACTACGTTTAGTTCTCTGACCTTTGGAGTGTCACCGATTTCGCAAATGTAAGCTTCGCTGTGGGGCTTCGGTTTCCCGAAGCCGATGTTCCGAAGTTGGCATTTTGCTTCACGGCAGAAGAGGCAAACTTTGGGCAGACGAGCCGGGAAACGAGTCGAGGAGTGCGTGGTGCTGGGCCAAGGGATCGTGGTGCTGGTGGCATATGTCCTCTTTGGTGCTGCTGGGCTGCACCAAATCGTGTTTCAAATGTCCAAATATGTCCAAAGCTCCAAACCTGCCCCCTCCCCCCCCACCACCCCATTTTCTGTTTGATAAGGAAGAGACCAAACGATCAGTGTCAGGCACGGCGGGCTTGGCGGTTTCAATTCGAGAGTTGGAGTCCTGGATGTGAAGGGACCGGACACCTCATGACTTGTTGCCCCTCTGTGTGGGCGGCGAGTTAGCAAAGCCGAGATCATTGTCGCAGTGATCATGCTGGTGCTGCTGGGCACATGCTATGTGGCTATTTTGGAAAGCATGCGACTCGGCGGAAGTGAGGAGTCCGGCGGCATTTGGGTGCTTCTCAAAGAGGGAGTGTTTTCTTCTGGCTTCCCTTTAAAACCATCTAACATCGTCTTATTTGGGTACTGCCGTTTGGGAAGCGTGAACCTTGCACCTTTGACTTGGGAAAGTGAGCAACCAACACACCCGAGCAATGAGGCTGAGTTTGGTTTCTCTCCATCCAACACGGGGTCCACGATGTCTAGCGCCTCACAAAAATATGTATACATAAATATATATATGGTTCCGTGTTTCGTGTTGCTACCCCCCCCCCATATGGTATGGGGGACCCTGACCCCGGAAAGGGGAGAAACAAGGAGCATCCCCCTGGCTGGCCGGGCGGCTTCGAGCCACTCAGGACCAACAAGTCGAAATGATTCTTAGTTCGCAACACGAAAATGGCACCGTGCGGTTCTCCTTGAGCTTTCTCCTCCCACACTGCCTGGATGTTTGCATTGTGTATCTGATCGAACATTGATGTGTTCCATGAGCACGAACTGCTGCAGAGCCCAAGTCGTAGTGTATGATCTGGGTAACGCTAGGAAATCCAAAAAGCGAGCCCAAGTGAAGGCAATACTGAAGTCCCAAGTTGGCTCGTCTCGAAGCTCGGCAAGAATCGCTTCAGCCGCTGCAAGATCTTCAGGACATTGCGATTGCAGCCGCAGACGGGATTGGCGAACCACACGGGCCCTCAGCTCTGCTGCCGCCACGTTGTACTGGGCGCACACCTGCAAGGACCGTCATGCCCATAGCCAGGCTGTGAAAACAAGCAAGCGCCCGTCTGGGCTCGACCCGCCAAAAAGGGCCAACCGTCTCAAGCTGCTTGGCGCGTTCTTTTGTGCGCCGGCAAGTTCTCCTCATGGCCACCGCCCTGTCACGGCTTGACAGCGTTGTGTACGATCTCCAGTAGAGACTCATGACGGGTGATTTGCCGACCAGCGCAGTCTTCCCGCAAAAGCGCGATCCCGCCACTTAGCGACAGCACAGTGGACTCCCGAAGGCCACTGCCAGAGCACTCAAACTTTCCAAACCCAGCGCTGCTGCGGTACTGCGTGTTCCTGCAGAGGACACTGTCGCCAGTCACAAGAGGCGCGAAGTGCATGGTTTTTTGATTCTTCTTGACACGCAACGCCATCTGAGCTCTTTGAGTGGCGGAGCAAAACAACTTCCACATCGTCTGCGAACCGAGGTGGCATTGGACATCCACACCAATAGCCGCATAGCCACCTGGTCTGACACTGCTGGGGCCGCATCCCCACAGACGGCCTTCGCCATCTGGACTCAAGGGGCCGCAAAGCTCGCCAGAGCAAGCAAAGGAAGGCACAAACACCAAGTGCGATGGCCAAACACAAATTGACAGCTGCGCTTCAGTCAGCCCGTTCGACTGCGGGCGTCCAGGAGGAATATGATAAGGTTTGACATGCAAAGTCTGGAAAACTGCCTCGTCGAGCTTTGGAACTGGCCTCCACAATCTGACCAGCATCTGGCCGGAATGTCCACCTCATGTAACAGCTGTTGCACCTCTGCCAAGCCTTTCCTAAGCTTGCAGTTTGCATTGCCACACAAGCAAACAAATTGCTTCATGTCGCTTGTCAACCTGAGTGTGGGGGTGGCAGCCCCACCCTTGGGTGAAAGTAGCTGATCCTTTGGGGCCACATGAAAGGAATTGCGTAGCCCGTTCACCCAATTGCTGGGGTCCTTCATGTCTTACTGTGGCTCACCTTTAGCTGCGTTAGGAAAGCTCTAGGTTACGAAACATGTCACTAAGAACATGTTTGGCCAAGTGAGAGGCACATAGTTAAGTGTAAGCTCAGCTGCTCGCAAACAGGGATAGCTAAAGCTACATAGCTACAAACCCGACGCCCTCCTTATCAATGTCCAGATCAAACGCACACAGCCGGTTTGTCGCAAAATCGACAAGGAGCAGCATGATCCAAGGGGCACCGTCAGGTGGCACGACTTTTCTCGCCCCGCGTGCTGGTGGCAAGGCAAAGAGAGCAGTGACGCAGGACGTGTGCAGCGTCCAGGTCCATGTTGAGCCAGCGCTTGCCCTCATCACGCAGCGCTCGCACCATGCCTTCGCGCCCACCAAGGTGCATCTGGTGCCATAATTGGTGGGCCTCTTGGCCGTGTCTTCAACTGTCACTGGTTCTTGTAGAAGGTAAGTGGGAAGCCGCCCCTAAGCTCCAAACCACCAATCCAAACCACTTAGAGGGAAGTTGATTACACAGATCCCAAATTCCAAACCCTCCTGCGCACTAGCGTGGAAGTGGAAGGGAGTCCCTTGGAAGACAAATTTCCTTCTGAAGGAACCCTCCAGCAAGATCCATGTTAGTTAGTTGGAAGTTCCCTTCAAGATAATCTGCAAGGGACCAGCGCTTTTTCCCGTTGTCAAAAATCCTTTTGGTACGGAAAATAAAAGTAGTGGTTTGTTCTTAGCTGAATTCACAGCTTCGTGCTGATTCTGTCCACACTTGCAACAAGCGCCCATGGGGGCACCTTGGCTGCCAGTCCTTTTGCAGGTGCTTCTGGGAGCAGACGCTGCAGGAATGCAGAAGAAGGCGGCAGCCGCAAGCTCTGCAGGCTCGCTACCGGATTGGGGCAGCAAAGACGAGATGCCTCCTAGGCTGCTGCGATGAGGCAGCAGAGGCGAAGGTACAGAAGTACCTTGGGAGGCTGGCCGTGGCAGCCTGGCGCTGTAATAAGCCTGGAGGTCTACTATTATTGAATTGGGGCTGAGGAGTCCAGAACTCCAGATGGATTCCAGAAGGAGCTTCGGTCCTTGTTTCCACTTGATTTAGTGTTGCTGGAGCTTCCTTTTGATTGTGATGTGAGCTTCCACTTATTTGATTTAGTGTTGTGGGATTTGGGTTTCTATTTTTTGACTTCGTATTGCTGGAGATTCTTGTTGAATTTGATTTGAGCTTACACTTATTTGGTTTAGTATTGCGGGATTTCACTTCCCATTTGATTTAGTATTGCTGAAGCCTCCTTTCGAATTTGATTTGAGCACCCATTTGATTTAGTATTGTTGGGTTTGAGTTTACATTTGATGTAGTCTTGCTGGAGCTTCCTTTCGACTTTGATTTGAGCATCCAATTGATTTAGTGTTGTGGGATTTCACTTTCCATTTGGTTGCTGAATCTCAGAATTGGGTGCGGCCCAAGTGGCCCTCATTAATAACATGGGGGCCACTGTTAACATGGGCTGGTCACTCATGTGGGGCACCTCATGTGACCTTCTCAAACCATCATTTTTTTGAAATGGGTTTAATAAAGAACTTGCATTTCCAGAAAGGCAAACTTTTTGGATTTCAAGGAGTTCTGGCTGATGTTTGTGTTGGCTCGGCAATGCTTCATGGCTGTGCTAGTACAAGTGCTAGTACAAAGCTGGCGCTGGCAGCTTTTCTTGGCATTGCAAAGCAAATGGAAAGCACAAAGCAGCAAGGTTTGGTCAAAATGAGACCAGCTGCATCACCAGGGGTGGGGTGCCGCTTCCTGATTCCATGTGTTTGTTTTGCGTGTGTGTTTTTGTGAGCGGGGCGCGAGGGGGTGGAGTTACGCAAGTGTGTAAAGTAAAAGTGTCATTTTTGTGTTTTAAGCATGATCATATGAGGCAGGCTGCATTGAGGCTTGTTTTGACCTGGCCAGACCAGTCATGAGGCAAGTAAGTGTTCCCCTAGTAATCCCTCAATATTCACATTCTCAGTAATTCCCTAGTATTCTCCAAGTATTCCCCTAGAGCCCCTTAGTAGTCCCCTGTTATCCCCCTTATTTCTTTAGTATTCTCTTACCCCTAGGGTTTCCTCAGCGCTCCCCCCAAGTATTTCCCCAATATTCCCCTAGTAGTATCTTAGCAAAAATTGATAGCTTTGTGAAATAAGCGTTTAAAAAGGAACGAATTGAGAGGAGTCAAATTGTTGAATCGTTGAATATTGTATTTAAATGCTCACTGATCCGTAAATACAAGTCTACTGGAAAGGGCGTCCCGTGCAACATATATTTTGAAATAGAACAATCGCTACTTAAATTCGAATTTAGCGTTGCAATTATCATTGGATTATGCATTGATAAAGTTATCTTCAATTTCAGATAGAAATGGAGTATAGTTTTTAGTATATCAAGTAGAATTTAAGGCTTAGCCAGACCTGAAGAGGGTGGACTTCAGAAAAAAACAATCTTCAATGCATTTGTTGGTTTTGTCATTTTTTGCAAAAGTGAGAAAACCCCCGAGTGTTCCAAAAAACCACACCCAAGACCCCATGCCCCAGATCCTGGAGGCACCTCCATGGGGCCTGGATTTTTTGGTTTTTGAAAAACTCAAGTTTTTGGAAAAACCCAAGTTTTTGGCTTTCCGTTTTTTAATGCTAGGTTGCTTGATGAGTGCAGATCGTTGGACAAGTTTGCTTGAGGAGTGCGACAGATAATTGGTGTCATTTGGCACTTGAATGCGGGTGCAGAACTGATATGAAAGAGGTATTGTATGAAAACATGCTCTTTTCACAACTCTACCCCCCCTGGCGCCCCCTTCTGTTTTTTCTACGTGAGTTCCTGTTTTTCAATTTGTGTAGTATTAGGGGTCCGGGGGGGCCGGTTTAATACCATTACTTGATCCGGGCTCGTCTCCAACGCATTTGCGAATGTTGCCAAGGAGTTTAACGACCTGGCGACAGCGGCCAACAACACCGCCCTCCTCAATCTGCTCTTGCAAATACGAAAATGCAGGCCTCTGCCGCGCGCGCGGCTCAGCGGCTCAAGACAGCGCAGTGAAAATTTATTGGCATGTCGCTGAATTGCTATCAAACCGCAAATCAATGCCAAATTTACAGAAACCTGGGAAACGGCTTGGTAGAGCCGCACCTTTGAAGTTACAGCTCAGAACCTTGGGGGCTGAAGGTTGAGGGCGCGCCTGGCCCAGGTGACATGTCGACCTGCGGCGCACTGCCAGGTGCCAAGAGAGGTTCGCAGAGCAGACTGCGGGAGAGGTGACTCTTGCGTTGCTGAGGCCGCCAAGTCCGGCAGGAGTGGAAAAAGACTTGTTCCTTGGCATTTGGCCCCATGACGGGGCAGGAGGAACACGTTTGCCCCAAATACCCAAACGAGGTGGAACACGAGCTAGCCAGAGACCAGGGTGCTGCAACAAGGATCTAAGCACAAGCATCAGGCAAATTGACCTATGCAAGTATACCTTTGCAAAACTCATGAACAATTGGCAACGCAAGCCGCTAATCTCGGATTCCGGCAGGGTAAATTGTGAGGTTTTGAGGTACCTAAATAATGAAAGCGGTTGAGTCATGTTTATCACAAGGGATGGTCCCGTTCTTTTATGAGGGGGTCGGATGTACTTCTCAAGCGTCGGACGTGTTTTTAAGTTGCTAGGCAAGGCCTCCAACGGTAACGGGGCCTGCAAAAGCCACCGCTTGGCCTTGGCAGGGTCGTGCGTCTGCCACAGAAAAGCGCCAACCTCTTCAACCACGGCGCGCCTCTTGGCCAACACCTCTTCAAAACATGCCCTTGATCTTGGGCATCTCCCATTGGCAGCGCAAGATTTACACTTGCTTGCAGCACCTGCCCGTTGTGCCGTGGCAGGGTTTGGTGACAGCCACTGCACGTTGAACCTCTCGTCCACTGGCTGGCAGGTCTTGCAGATAGGCGTCTGGCTGGCAAACTGGCCCACGGTGTGCGCAGCCCTGAACAGCTCCTTGCCACAAGCGAGTAAGTCTTGGTGACTCTTTGTCGATGAGGTCAAGTGACTGAGAGCGCTGGACAGGCTCTGCATGCTTTTGGCGGCACTTTCTCCGATCCTGGGCAAAGCATGTGAATGCGGGTAGGCAGCGCGGCCCCAAGACACCCTTCACCCATGTTAACAACTGCAAATGTAAAAATGTGTATATATGTAGAATACAAATGGTCCATATTGTCTTGACTCAGCACAGTGACATGAAAGGAGGAGCATCAGGGAACGCACTGCAGAACTCAAGCGCGGCTTCCATCCTCAGCCAAAAAGTGAAAAGGGCCGCCCACCGACTCATCAAAAGCAAGACATGAGCACACTATCCATGAAGCAGCTTTAGAGTTTGCATGGTCCCGCGATAGAAAGAAACCTGTGGCTTCTACCCTCTGGCAAACAACGAAAGCTGTGCATAGGTTGGCTCAAAAGCAGTCCACCATGTGTGCCTGCCAGACCAACTTGCAGAACCCAAGACCAACTTCGCATTGATCAACTCTGAAACTGCACAGAGACCGTCCTAGCGCAAGTCCTGCTGCACAAGCAAACCGCAATGCTGGCACACTGAGGAACACTCGATCGCATGCTCATTGAATCTGGCACGTCTTCACATGAAAAGAAAACTCTTGCAAATCATCTTGGCTCTCCCCCTACCAAGCAAAGCAAACATGGCCCGGGAGACAAGACACTAAAGCCTGCAAAGCCTGTCATCAACCTCTAAACGGAGCATGCCAAGTCTTTCTGTAAGGTTCACTTGTCTGATCCCAGCACCCTTGACGATGTGGAGAAAAACCAGATCCACACTTGTCGAAAACCAGATGCACTGGGCTGGGTGGTACTTGTCTGATTCGTGAGCAATGATGAGGTGGACAAAATTCACGTCCAAAAGGGCGGGGTCATCCGACGGATTCATGAGCATTGACAATGTGGCAGTAAACAAGAACCACATCCACGGCAGGGGGGAACGGCTCCAGCACTGAGGATGTGAAAGTACACAAAAACCGGGGGTACTGGTTCCAGCACTGACGATGTGACCGTAGACAAGAATCACATCCACAGGAAGGGGGCACTTGTCTGACCCATGACCATTTGGGGGGGGGGGGGGGACTGGCAACATAAAAGAATATTTATATATATATATATATTATAAAAAAAAATGAAGCTTGCGGCCAAGAACCTATGAAGGCCCTTGCTTGTTCATTTGCTTTTCAGGTTGGTGAAGTCTTGCGCGCCCAGAAGCCAATTTTTGTTCACTTATCTCTCCGCGCGAGCCGCGTGCAGCGACGAAGGGCTGCGAGCGATTTCGCAGGGGCAGCAAGAAGCAGAGCGAGATTCGGGTTCCTTGGCAAGATTTTCCGGCGAGTCTGGGCCGGGAGGGGCCGCAAAGTCAGCTTTGCCCACACCGTTTTGAACCACCCCTCACAGCAGAGCGCACTGGAGAAAAATGAACTTCCCAGGAACCAAGAAAACAGCCCTGGAACAGGGAGCCTTGGCCCTGTTCAGCTGAACATTACCTTTGTGTCGAGAAGGGCGGGTAAGCCATGTCTGGCGGGAGATTCCAATGCTCTGACTCTTTGATGCGCATGGATTGTACACCTAGCAAGGTTTGTTCATTCCGTGGCCAGAAACAAGGGTTGCTACGAGCCTATGGCAAAGGCGCGGGTTGAGGTCCAACCCCCAAATGGAGATCCAGACCCCTCGAATGATTCCCGAATGCGTAGCGAAGGGTTCCCGTTTATAAGTGGGGGTCTGCGAGGAGCTGCTCCAGAGTTCGCAACCGTTCGCAACCGTCCGCGGTGAGGCGATAAGCGTGTGCCATTGGGATTCGTCGTGGAAGCGTGTTTTTGATGGATCGGCAAGCGCTGTTTTCGTTGGCCCTGTGCGCGAATCGTAGCTTCTCGAAGCTCGACGTGTCGTTTCGCTGCGCAGGCGCAGTGTTTTGGAAGGCTGCGTGTTCTCGTTGCCGTGCCATTGGGATTTGAGATCCAGGGGTGGTCGCTTTGAGGTGTCCTGCTTGGCAGGCGCGTCATAGTATTTGCGCCGGCGCCGTTTTCGTTGGCCCTGTCGTACAATCGGATCGTTCGGCGGGCCTGAAACATGTCAACATTGGTCGAAATCATTCTGGCGCCACAGTCCCGTGCTAGTTTTGAATGCGATTTCGTGGCAGGTCCAGCACTTTGGATGATTTTGAGGTTGTGGCAAGCTTACTTTGCGTGACAGACGCAGCACTTTCGAGCGTTTTGCTTGGCGCACTTTGGGTGGGTCGAATCGCTCTCGCTGTGGTGCGGTGCGCGTTTTGAGCGCGCCTGGATGTAGATTTCGTGGCAAGCGCGTCACTTTGACTCAGCGAGATTGCTCTCGCTGTGGCGCGGCGCACATTTTGCGAACGCGAAGCGAACCCTGTGCGCACATCAGGTTGGTCGAATCGCTCTCGCTGTGGCGCGGTGCACATTTTGAGCGCGCAAAGTGAACCCTCTGCGCGCTTTGGGTGGGTCGAATCGCTCTCGCTGTGGCGCGGTGCACATTTTGAGCGCGCAAAGTGAACCCTCTGCGCGCTTTGGGCGGGTCGAATCGCTCTCGCTGTGGCGCGGTGCGCATTTGGAGACAGAAGTTTCGTTCAGAAGTGCCGATCACAAGTGTCCAGTACAAGTGTCGTTGAGAAGTGTCGATTAGAAGTGTGTCGATCAAAGTGTCGCTCATCGGAAGTGTCGACAGAAGTGTTGCTCGGAAGTGTCGATCAGAAGTGTTGCTCAGAAGTGTCGATCAGAAGTGTCGTGGATCAGAAGTGTTGGTCAGAAGTGTTGCTCAGAATTGTGGATGAGAAGTGTGGATCAGAAGTGTTGCTCATCAGTGTCAATCAGAAGATATCACAAGTGTGGTTCAGCAGTGTTGCTCAAACTGTCGATGAGAAGTGTCAAGCACAAGTGCGGATCAAAAGTGTTGCTCAAAAGTGTGATCAGAAGTGTTGCTCAGAAAAGTCGATCAGAAAAGTGCCGCTCAGAAGTGTTGCTCAGAAGTGTCGATCAGAAAAAGTGTGGTTCAGTCGCTCAAACGTGTCGCTCAGAAGTGTCAATCAGAAGTGTTGCTCAGGAAGTCGATCAGAAAAAGTCTCTCTCAGAAGTGTCGCTCAGAAGCGTCGATCAGAAAAAGTGTGGTTCAGAAGTGTTGATCAGGTGTCGCTCAAAAAGTTCGCTCAGAAATGTCAACTGTTGCTCAGAAGTGTCGATGTTGCTCAGAAACGTCGCTCAGAAGTGTCAATTCAGCAGTGTTGCTCAGAAGTGTCGTTCAGAAGTGTGTTGGTCAGAAGTGTTGCTCATCAGTGTCAACCAGAAGTGTGGTTCAGCAGTGTTGCTCAAACTGTCGATCAGAAGTGTCAAGCATGAGAAGGGTTCCTCACAAGTGTCGATCAGAAGTGTCGATCAGAAGTGTTGCTCAGAAGCGTCGCTCAAAAGTGTCAATGCAGCAGTGTTGCTCAGAAGTGTCGTTCAGAAGTGTCGATGAGCAGTGTGGCTCAGAAGTGTTGGTCAGAAGTGTTGCTCAGAACTGTCGATGAGAAATTTCGATCAGAAGTGTTGCTCATCGGTGTCAATCAGAAGTGTGGTTCAGCAGTGTTGCTCAAACTGTCGACCAGAAGTGTGCATCAGAAGCGCGGATCAAAAGTGTTGCTCAGAAGTGGTCGCTCAGAAGCGTTGCTCAGAAGTGTCGAGCAGAAAAAGTGTGGTTCAGAAGTGTTGATCAGGTGTCGGTCAAAATTGTCGCTCAGAAGTGTCAATCAGAAGTGTCGATCAGAAAGAGTGTTGCTCAGAAGTGTCGATCACAAAAAGTGTGGTTCAGAAGTGTTGATCAGGTGTCGCTCAAAAGTGTCGCTCAGAGGTGTCAATCAGAAGTGTCGATCAGGAAAAGTGTCGCTCAGAAGTGTTGATCAGGTGTCGGTCAAAATTATCGCTCAGAAGTGTCAATCAGAAGTGTCGATCAGAAAGAGTGTCGCTCAGAAGTGTTGCTCAGAAGTGTCGATCAGAGAAAGTGTGGTTCAGAAGTGTTGATCAGGTGTCGCTCAAAAGAGGTGTCAATCAGAAGTTGTGCTCAGACGTGTCGCTCAGAAGTCCAGTACGCTGCAAGTCTAGTGCGCGAAGTACAGGTTTCGAGCTCTAGCTTGGAAAATCGCAACTTTTTAGCACAAGTGTAGCGCGCGAAGTATAGGTTTCTGGAAAATCACAACTTTGAAGTGCCAGTCTAGTGCATGAAGTACAGGTTTCCAGCTCCAGCTCGAAAATCGCAACTTTGTAGTTCCAGTCTAACGTGCGAAGTACAGGCTTCCAGCGCCAGCTGGAAAATCGCGACTTTGTAGTACAAGTCTAGTACGCGAAGCACAGGTACGCGAAGTCCAGCTCTAGCTGCAAATCACAACCTTGTAGTAGAAGCCTAGCGCACAAAGTTCAGGTTTCCAGCTCTAGCTGCAAAATCGTAACTTTGACAAGTCTAGTACGCGAAGTACGGGTTTCCAGCTCCAGCTGGAAAATCGCGACTTTGTTGTACAAGTCTAGTACGCGAAGTACAGCTCTAGCTGGAAAATCCCGACTTTGTAGTACAAGTCTAGTACGCAAAGTACAGGTTTCCAGCTCTAGCTGGAAAATCGCAACTTTGTAGTACCAGCTCTAGCTGGAGAATCGCAACTTTGAAGTACAAGTCTAGTGCGCGAAGTGTGCAGGTTCCCAGCACTAGCGGAAAGTCACAACTTTGTAGTGCAAGTATAGTACGTGAGGTACAAGTTTCCAGCTCTGGCGTGGAAGATCGCAACTTTGAAGTGCAAGAATAATACGCGAAGTACAGGTTTTGAGCTCCAGCTTGAAAATCGCAACTTTGTAGTACAAGTCTAGTACGCAAAGTACAGGTTTTCAGCTCTAGCTGGACAATCGCAGCTGTGTAGCGCAAGTCTAGGCGCGAAGTACCAGCTCCGGCTGGAAAATCGCAACTTTGTAGCACAAGCGCGCGAAGCGCAGGTATCCAGCTTCAGACTGAAAATCGCAGCTTTGAAGCAACAAGTGGAGCACGCAAAGTGCAGTTTTACAAGCTGAAAAACATAGTTTGCGCAGTAGGCTTGATTGCGAGCCCCATTGGCTTATACCCAAAAATGTTCTCTCTAATTAATTTCTTGGGCTTGCGCAAAGTGATGTGCATTCGGGTTCGTGGGCTCTATCAGGTTTTTGTTTGGAACCTTTGGGGGAACCCTGACTCATCTCTAACACAAAAAGTCCCCAACTATGAGCCCCATGCAAAAACAAAAAGTCGTGACCTTGCGGGATTTGGTTTGCAACCGACAAACACTTCTCATTTCAAGTTGGTGATGAGCTCATTCTGATTTACGCAGACAAATCCTGCACGCTGGGTGTTCCTTCTTGCAGACAAATGAAGAGTCAGAATCCCGAACTGAAGACGCGTGTTTGGCGGCTGGGTGTAGGCATGGCGCACCCCGCCTTTTGTGCGCATCGGGTTGCTACGCGCGGTTACCCGTTTGACAACTTAAATAGGGCAACCGCAATATTTCAATCAATGATTCCCCTTGTTGTCCCTTTCAACAGCCCAACGACAGATTGCTCAAAACAATGGCAGGCACATCCAAATACGCGCCAGGCGCTTGTTTTTTGATTGCCATGAGCTCAAACCCGCGAATGGCAACTCGCCGGTTTGGCATGGTTTGCTAGACTTGCTGCCAAGCAAAATGTCCAGATTGTTTGGGCAATTCTGAAGGTGTTTGCATGTGCAACGGTCAAAGGTGGGTTTTGGGGAAACTCCCTGCAAATTCATATGCAACCCAAAACGGAGGGGTCCTCCAACAGGCAATTCCTGCAATCAAGGAATATACCGGAATCCTTCTCAAGGTAAGTGATGCTGTGCCCGGTGAATCTCCGGACTGCTTCTGCTTGCGCCCTGCCCCGCCGTTGCTTGTGTTTTTGACGGAGCGCGTTTTTTGGCCGAGCCTTCCATGACGATGGGCACCACAGTGTCCAATATGACCTCATTGCTGTCGGGGACCACGGACGAGTTGGACTTGGAGCAAGAGGAGTTCGACCCGCGGAAGGTGCCCCAGCGATCCGAGTCGCGGGCTGAAGAGCGGGTTTGTGGAAGCGGGTTTTGGCCCACTTTTGTGACAGGAAGGAAATAGCTGGGAAAAGAGGAACCGAGTCCCCCTTTTTCAACCTCCAAGTTTTTTTTTCCACATGGGTCATTTCTCCGTCGGACTGGGCTTCCCGCTCTGTCAAACCATCGAACCCTACAGGCGAAGACGCACAACCAGAAGGCGATCTCGCAGCCTGGCGACTTCCCGTGGCATATTTGGAGATTGATTTTCCGCAATATCAGGTGACTTGCAACTTACAAGCAGCGCACACATATAAGCACACGAACAAACGTGAACGAACCAACCAACCAGTTCAAACAGAAAAGAAAGCACGCCAATCACACAAAGCAAAAACCATGCAAAACAAGAGCAACCAATACAAAGCAGAAGAAAGGAACGCTCAAAGCGAAGCAAAGAATGCAATACAGACGCCAAAAAAAAAGCAATTCCAATCCGGCAGTTTGACCTAAGGTGTCCCCTTTTGGTCTTGAACGATCGGTCGGTGGAAATGAACCGTTCCCAAGCCTTCCCCGAGGCACGGTTTCGTGACCAGCCTTCAGGCGGGTTTGTTCAGCGGGAGTGGGGGTGCTCTGCAAGTGGTTTTCACGCCCCGGGCTATGAGTTTGGAAGCCCCGGAAATTGCTCAGAGGACAAAATGATGGCACCGACACGTCCCCCATTGAAGCATATACCCTTATCTTGCTTGTTCCTTGGTGGGTTGGAGAGTTTGCCTTTGACATCAGCCAACAACGCCCCTGTTTCAAGTCAGCCTGCAAGGAAAGGGTGCGAGTGCGAGTGTGTGTGTGTGTACGAGTGTGACTGTGTGTGTGTGTCGTCTGTGTGTGTGCGCTTTTGCCGGCAAGTAGCCTGCAGCTTTGTTGTACGGGCTTTGCACAAAACGGCTCAAGCGACCGGACCGTGGCTTGCAACAACATGTTCGTTCAAACATGTCAAATGGGTGGGTGGCTCAACCCTGCTTATGTCTCACTGAAGTGCCAGAAATGTTGGGGCAGGTGAGCGGCTCCAAGGAGAAATCCGGGTAAACTCACCACCAGGGGGGGCACTGTTTTTTACTTAGGTGGAAAGTCCATGGTCCCTGCAGGTGGAGTGTTTGCAACCCCGCTGAATTGAGCCAAAGCATCCATGCTTGGGACACTTCCCTTTGCTGTCCCTTCACAAAATGCACCAAAAGGGCAAGCCCGCAAGAGCAGGAATCCCACCCACGGTCATCCTTGGGAAAAATGAGGGGCAACAAGAAGTGATATGTTGCTCTTATGATCATGACTTAGTGTTTGAAGTGCCCCACAACCCAGATTGGTGCAAGATGCGCAATGGTCCCCATGTTGGTTTAGTCATTCCCCTTACTTACAAGGGAATCGCGCCATCTACCCTGTTTACGAAAAAGCGAATTGTGCCACCTAAGTTGGCCCAAGCCCTTGTTTGAAAGTGAAGCCACTGTTCGAACAACCCTTGGGTTGAGAAAGCCGCCCGGTGTAATTATTTTGCCAGCCCAGAGGCATCCATCAAGTTCAACTCCCTGCGCAACGCCACAAACAAGGGCCGCGTGGGCAGGACGACATTGGCCGGACCTGTGTTTGGAGTCGTGAGGGAAACCAGAAGGAAACCAGAGAGGGTTCCGGTCCCTTTGAGACAAAGCCGATTTGAGTGGGAGGAAAAGGGACATTAGCCAGACAGGTGTGGATATCCGCCGTTTGCTTGGTTACGGCATGGGTTTCCCTGTAGGATTTTGGATTGGGATTGGCAAATGCGTTTTGAGCGGTCTTGGTTTGACTCCTTCAGTACCAGCTTTTGATTATGACCCAATTAGGAGATTTCGCATGGGTTCGGATGGCCATGTTGGCTTGTTTTAAAGGCAGTCAAAGGAAAAGCCACCCTTTTGTCAAACCCAGGTGCCACGCTTTTTCTTGGATCTCTCTTTGAAACGAGGGTCGGGAGTTGTTTTTGGGGATGGAACCGATCCCAAAGGGAGACTCCATTGCTTGTTTGCTTGTTTGTTTGAGGGAAGCCCAATCGAATCTGGTTGTTTCCTTCAAGAATGGTACTCTCAACAAAAGGCATGACCATTCACGGCACGCGATGACAAAGCCAGCCGAGAACTACGCGTTTCCCTTAGGTTTCCAAAGTGTCCATGATTTTGACTCAAACGGGCTTTACTTGATCTCCCTTGCCATGGGTTTTCATTCGAAGCCACCCAGACGCCCTCCTCACAGCCCTCCAGCCAGCCCTAAGCGGGCCTTGTGGCGCTTCGGAGCGCAGGATGATCCAAGCCACGCTGGACGCACAGCACGATGACCTGGGCATTGGCCTGCAGCTGCTTCCTGGCTGAAAGCAGCTGCCGCAAGCGGATGTCTATGGGCTAAACTATGGCTGGCTGGTTCTCAGTCAGGAATTAGAATGTGGGAGTGAAGCCAGGGAAGTTGTCTGACTGACCTTTCCCCACACGTTCCACCGAAGTTCCCCAGCCGCGTGGGTCCCCGAAAGTTCCCGAAGAGTCTCCAGCCACCCCCCCCACTTTGATTCCTCAGCCATCCCGGCGAAGTTCCCCACCGAAAGTTCCCGAAAGTCCGGCCGTCCCCCACAGTTCCCTGAAAGTACCACATGCCGTCAATGGCGGTTTCCTGGAAGGTTCTCCGAAAAAGTAAGTTTCCCGGCCGTCCATCCACCCATGAATCCCTTCGATCCACTTGAAGGAAACCGCAAGGCATGTTTTACAGGTCATTCCTTCATTGTTTGCTGAGCCAGCAAGCTTAGTAGGTGGTTCAGTTCATGCTTAGTTCTACATTGAACGCTTTCCGCTCAACGATTGGTTCGTTGTTGATTGACCTGGTTCAGCCTGGATTGTAAAGCCTTGGCTGTGCAAGCGTCTGCTGAGATGGGTGCATCAAGTGGGTTTGAAGACGCGTCGATTGCCAAGAGTTGGAACTAGCGCGATGCTAGAGCGGTAGTGGGTTCACATATGGATGACACGCTTCCCGGCAGAGAACTGAACAGGGAAATCAGCAAGGTAATCAGGTTCGAAGATTGGACGCCACCAGACGATTTCAGTCCAAGGTCATTTCAAGTTGGCAAATGGATATCCTTGCAAGACCACGTGCTGCTCGCACAGAGAGATCAAATCTCCTGTCAGTTTGGAGAGCCCACAGGCAGATGGCTCCACGGCACCGATTTCAAGCGCAAGCACACAGACTCAAACCCCGATCGGGATTTTCCAGGCTGCGAGGGGTGTGAAACACAAAGAACGTGTGAGTCTTTTTCGCGAGGGGGCGCCCCTTTTGGCAATGTCGGGACCAGAACTGGACAAAACACTCATGCGCTCAGGTTCTACAACACCCAGATCTTTCTGATTATGTTCAGCCTGATGGGCTTGGGCATAGCCTACCTGTTCCTGCACGTTCTGACTCCAGGCATGCGTGACTGGCATGAGGCTTTGTGTCGGTAGCGCGTATATCATACTTCATCGCCAAGACGTAAGCAGAGAAAGCAAGTCATGAGAGGCATCCCCTCGTGAACTCCAGGGTTGGCCGATGTAATTAGCTCTTTCAGGCCCTCATCAAAGCCTGAGAGATTGGACAGGGTAAAAAGCCCAACGATTCGAGTTCTTTGCAATGTTTCGTGACTCCTTTAAATGGCAGGTTCTGGTTCTGACTCTCACGATACGTCCAACGCGGCGTTGACTTCCAATGCGTGGCATGTGCTGGGAGTACTGGGGCGCACTCAGGGTTGCTCGGTGGCTCGAGCTCAGCGAAGGTGCGTACGGTCTTCGTTCTTTCGATGATTCCCGTGTTGCAGCCTTGATTGTGTTGGAATTCATGCCTAGTTAATGTGTGAGTGTTTTGCTCATCAGGACCCACCCTCAGTACAAGGCGATGTCAGAGAGACAAGCCAACGATGCTCATGTAACAAGCCGCTCAAAGACGTCCGAATCACAGGCTACAAGGTGCATGGCGCATGCAACCAAGTTGAAAGAAACGCAATCCGAACCACGCCCCAAACAAGTAACAGCAAAACCAGGCTATACAAACTGCATGCCCCCCCAGCACCCTGCGTCAATCTCTAAAAAATGCGCCTGCGCCGTCACCCCGAACAGCACCCCCAAACAGCACCCCTCCGCACCCTGCCGTCAATCTCGTCCGAAATGTCACCAGCACGCAAGCAGCTCCCCAAACAGCTCCCAAACAGCACACCCTAACAGCATCTGCACCAGCACCGCCGTCAATCTCGCAAATAACTTTCCCCTTTTTATTAGAAGTTAGAACCCCTATAGCTTTCAGCTATCTGGGGAATGAATTGTCCTTTGGCTTGAACGAGCCAACACTTGACAATAATTTCCCACTCACCTGCCTCAGTGAAACTTCTGCAGATTGCCAAAGACCAACCAAGTCGTATTGTTTGAAAGTTGCAGATTCTGTGTCGCGGCATTGTGTCTTGTCACAGGTTTGAATGGTGAAGGCAGTACTCTTCTCGCGTTTCGCGCCTTCTTCGCCCCGGGTTCAGTTTCTGGAAGCTTTTGCGATGTGGGTGTGTTGGACTGCCACGATTTTCACCCAGCTTTGGCCTCGAGACCCAGGTCTCAAAGGGCCACGATATCCCAAGGCCAGAATCAGGGGGTCTTTGTCCTTGCCAGTCAACTGACTCTTTCTCACTTTGCCAACTCCCAAGCAAGATACGCCAGCAGCCCTGATCTGGGTCCGTGCCAACGTATTGGTTTCGACCCCAGAGACGATTGGAGTGCCCTTTCAACATGTTTCAACAAAAGCACACATGAATAATGGTTTGCCCTTAACCGTTCCTTTAAACCAACCCCAAAAGTGAGTACCAACAAAATCACCCACCCATCTTTCGAGTCGCAGGGGAATCGCTGGGGCAGCTCCTGCGGGAGGCATCCGTGTGCCCTACCTCGGCGGAGAAGATGAGGCGGGAAAACGGCATGTGTTTTCGGTCGAATGCGGCATTTGGCAATGAAACCAAATTCGGAGTCGCCTCAAAAGTGGTTGGTGGACATGCATCCCCACCGAAATCCGAAATTGTGTCCACCGAAGGGAAGTCAAAGGCAACCAACAAGTTTGCATGTGTTTTTTCGTGTCTCCGTTTTGGGGCCGTTTTACAGAGAAATGAAAGGGACGCCACCAGTTTGTGGGTTCCTTCATTTTGAGACAAAGCCATTTTTGTGTTTGTGAATATGTGTCTTTTGAGTGTACGCCGTCTTGAGGGTGGTTTCAAGGAGAACCAAAGGAACACGACCAAATGTGGGGCCCATACTGATTGACACGTAATGTGGAGATGGATGATATGTGTTTGTTCCCTGCAATTTCAAGCAACAGCTCGATCTTTAAACCTGAATCAAGTTCACATGAAGCTGTGTTGTTCGCATTAGTAACTCAAAGTGATCGTTTGCCCTTGAGGCCCATCTCAAATGGTTTCAGTTTTATCTTTTGAACCAGAGTAATTTCAGGTGATTTCAAGTCATTTCGCTTGATTTTTCTTTTGACCTTTGCAGGGTGTTCCAGCCAGCGACTACGGCATACACTCTTCGCAGTCATTTTGCCGAGTTTCAGTTGAAGGGTCTGTGCCTCCAAGGCGATGTGAGCGAATCTGTGGTTCTACTCTTAGGTTCGTCATAGTGGGCTTCTTTACGAGTGTGTCGTTTTTGAGCACTGGTACCCTTGTTGGGGCTGGCTTAAAGAGAAAAGAACAGTGGAATTTCATTGGTAACTCAAGCCAGGGATCTGGAGAACCGTATCCTGCAGAGAGAGATGGATCGCGCGAAGATTGGGCAATTGATGGGTGTCGTCTTCTGGTTCCTGAGTGCCGCTTGTCTGCAAGATGGCTACATTCTCAGCTGATTTGGGATGCGACTGTGTGACCTTGCTCATGAAGGTGCCTTTCTTGGCTGGTTTCTTCTGTGACCTTGGCCCCCTACACATGTTGGAAACATAGGGTTTCTCCACTACACTAAACCTACCAAAGCTTCTACCGGGCTCAAGGGGGAAGAGCAATCCAGTTTTGAGGGTCCCTTGTTCCGGCTTTGCTCGCGACAAGGTGTTGCTTTCCTGGAGCTTCCACTACTACCAGAAGACCTTCCAAAGGAACTACGACTCCCAGCACCAGACGGCAGACGATTACACGCTGATGTTGGAAGGCTTGCCACCGGACGTCACCTCGGAGTTCCAGTTGCACAACCACCTTGAGAAGGAGCTGCAAATGGAAGGCAGGAACGAGTGATTCAGGTTGCGCTTTCTTGGTGCTTTGGATTGGTTTGGGTTTGGTTTTCAACCCCTGTAGAGCGTAAATGGGAAACCACCCCCCAAACTCCAACTCACTAATGAGCTGTGGGGAGAACTCCCTTATGAAGCCCTTAAGGCCTTATTGGCGGCTGATCCTTGGCTTGTCCTTTGTTTCTTGACCCCCTTTTTGTTTGGTGCAACTTGCAAAATCCCAACTGGCTTCATATCATGGCTCGACATTGAGGTGGAGATTCTAATCCACTTGCTTGATCTTGGGTTTGACCTTTACCCGAACTTTTGGAAACGTGGCTGAACTTCACTAGGGGGACCCTTTCCTGGACAGCATTTAGGCGAGGATGGGGATGTATGGCCACCAACCACTTGTGAGGTGGCTCCGTGCGAGAATTCAAGTCACGTCTTGGGGGGCAAAACTTAGACCAGCCCAAGCTCAACCATCACCTCTTTTAAGCCGTCCAAGTCCGGGCTGAAGGCGCTGGGTCAGACTTCGCCTCTTGTCACTTGGTGCCCACTTCTTTTCGAGGCAAGCCGGTAGCATGCTGCTATGGAATGCATGCAAGGACATCGGTGGCTGTTGTTTTATTTGGAGAATCAGTCTTCCTCGACCCTTTTTGAGAGGTATTTGTTTGGTTGTGGCGGAGAGGTCGGGTTGCCCACCGTTTTCCCCTTCAACAAGCAAACAATTTCAGGGGTCGAAGTCTCGTCAAGCCATGGGGTCCCTGATTGCTGGTTTTGACCCCCATTTTCACACTCCACTTGCCAGTCGGTGGGGAGTTTCGGAAGAAGTCCACCCAGTTTGCGGGTTCCCTTGGACCAAGAGCGTTCCATCGCAGGCCAAGAGGGCAATCTAACGTGGAACCTCAAAAAACCGGGGGTTCCTTCCGCCTTCAGGCCAAAGAAGGCCAGGCTCTGGGCTGTGCTGTTGGGTTCCTGTGCTTTCTTGCCCGAAAGGCCCGAAAGGCCCGAAAGGTTCGGACCTGTCTCTCCGAAGGTTCGGCCGCTTAGGCGCCATCTACGGGGTCTGCATCTTGTACGACTTGGTGCACCTCCCCGAAGAGGCCATGGAGCGGCTCGAGGAGATGCTGGAGCACATCATCGAGTGGGATGACATGAAGAACGGCGCGGCAGATTTTTGGGGCTGAGGGAGGAATATGTTTTTGGGGGTGGTCGGTGTGATCTATTGCTCAGGTGATTGCGCCGAGTGCTGTTACTCTTACTCTTATGATTGCCCTCATCAATGTTACTTTGATGCTCTCAGTATCTTGTTATTGTTGCCATCATGTCATTGTTGTTGCTATGTTTTTGTCATTGTTTGTGTTTTGTGTGTTTGATTGCCTTGGTCCTCATTTCTGGCAGGGTCGCGCAAACTGGCAAACTGGCGAACCAGAAGTGCAACAAACGGTTTCAGTCACTCAATCAGGCAAGATTTGAACCCTGTTTCTTGTGGGCAAATGGGAAACCACCCCTGACCTCACCAATCCAAACCAATACTATGAGGTTCGGTCCAAATGTCCATACATGAGTGACAAGGCGGGGACTCGCCAGACGTCCCTACACAACCCAGTGGACGAGCAGTAAATTTCTCATGTGCTCTGGGCTCATCTGCGTATTTTTCATGGTGGACCCTTTGGGTTGATAATTTGTTGTGGGAAAGCAACCGAAAAACAACCGTTTTTTCTTTCCGCGGTCCCGGAGGCTGGGTGCACTCCGACTTCTCAGTATCTCTGAAAGACCTGGAGAAAGACATGGAGAAGGCGGACTCCCAAACTGAATCGGAGTGTCGACCATCAAATCACAGTTCAGTGGCCTCGTCTCTTTTGGCTTTCTCTAAAGACACGCCTCAAGAAGTCGTCCCCTATGTCCACCCAATTTGTAATGGTTGGGGTCAACCCTCCCTTTCTCTACCTGGGTCACTGGTTGCATTCTAATCTGAGGGTCACTGGTCCCAACCTTTCTCTGCCCTACCTTTCGGGTCGCCGCTTAGCCCCCAGAACCGTCAGCTCGTGACAAGAATGGTGGATCGCTTCGCGCTGAGCGGCAAGGATCTAACGCGGTTTCCACCACACCCAAACCACCACCAAAGTAGGGGACCCCCATTTTGGGTAGGTGCCCCCATTTCGAGAAACACCTCAAAATAGTGGCTATCTATCCCATGAAAGCCCCAGTTCTAGAAAAGATCGATCGATTTGCCAGGACCGGGAAGAGTTTAAGGAGATGTTGCAGAAGCACCTCCGGTGTTGCGGGCGCGCCTACGTGGTCTTCCACACGGAGCCAGCTTCGAGCGAGCCGAGCGGGTTCGGTGTTTGCCGCAGTTCGGAATCCGAAGCCAAAAAAAGGTCCAGCAACACGAAGATCCCACATTTCCAAGAGCATGTGGGAACATCTGCAAGTCGGCTAATCGGTTGCGGGTGGTGTTCTCCAGGACCCTGAAAGCTATGGGGGCTCTCTGCCTGGGCTCCCTGCCTAGTCAGGAGGGTTGCAAGCTGTTAGGCATACCACTCCTTCAGGAAAGAAGCAAGTGGGGTTTGGTCCAACCCCGGTTTTTGCTGGGAGTCGAATCCCGCAGCTGGCAGGGCGTTTGCGAGAATGTGGTTGAAGACTAGAAGCAACTCGGGTTCTGAGGGCCTTTCTCCCAACCTTCCCCGAACAAGGAAACCGACACTCCCCAAACCAGAGCTCCTTTCCTGGAAAAAACCTCCAAAAAAGCATCAAGTGCACAATCAAGACCGAAGTAGGGGATAATCCCAACCATAAATGGGCGCAGCCGCCTTGTAAACTCTTTTTTATTGGTTTGGGAAAATGTTATGCCAGGTTTTGATTATGACTCAAGGAACCAGAGAATGCCAAGCAGTGCCGAAAGGCGTTTGTGTTCTTCAGGCGATTGTGGTGGTTTCTCGGTGTAGGGTTTTGCTAGAGATTGCCACAGGAGATCGGCATGATCCGAGCGCTCCGCGAGCGGCGGGGCATCCGGAAGGAGGCTTTGGCGCCAAGGTACAAGGGAGGCCCAGAGGCGGAGATTCAGATGGTGGAGGCCAGGGTGAGGCTTGCGACATTCGAATCCGAGTGGTCAACATGAAGTCAGCAGGCCCTTTTGATTTTCATGAAGGTGTGTCTCCACCTAGGACCCAACAAATTCGCACATGTACTGCATCTACATGAAACAGCAGATGAAACCAAAGTTGATACTACAATTCAGGATTTACTTCAAAGTCATAGGAGTAGTTTAATGAAAAAGGAAGGTGGTCAAAAAAACAAATTGAAGCCCTGATGAAGAAAATATATCCAGGTGAAAAAATATCGTACTAAATCATATCAAGAAAGGTTTATAACAATGACTATTCAAGGGGAAATCCCACACTGAATATTGACGTGCGCCCGTTTGGGTGTGTTTTGAAGTAGGGGACCCCCAACACGGCTTTGGTTTTCCTTTGGTGTTCCTTTGCACTGGGGAAAATTGTGGTGTTCCTTTTGGTTCTCTTCGAAGCAACCCCACAAAAGGGTATCAACTCTAAAAAAGTTGGGGTTGTGAGTGGCCAATGGAAGCCGGTGAAGTGACAAAATGGTTATCAAAAAGGGAATCCAGGGCGCGACTTCGAAGAAGCGTTTTTCGGGAAATGTCTATTGCAAGGGAAATTTCGGTGTGTTGCAAGCAAGAAAGGAACTGATAGCTCCGGCTTAAATGGAACATACCCACGTGTTTTTTTTGTTGCATCGGCAGATTTAGCTTACATGGTTGTGTGCCCAAAATAGTGGTTTTCTCTTTGGGTTCCTGAAAGAGACGCCAAAAAGAAGAGGTACCCCCAAACAACAAAAACACACACACCACGCACACACACACACACCACACACACACACACACACACACCCACCCACCCACCCACGCACGCACGCACGCACGCACGCACGCACGCACGCACCCACACACACACACACACACACGCACACGCACACGCACACGCACACCCACACACACACACACACACACCCACGCACGCACGCACGCACGCACGCACGCACCCACCCACCCACACACACACACACACACACACACGCACACACGCACACGCACACGCGCACACGCACACGCACACACGCACACACGCCCACGCGCGCGCAACATTTGCACGCACTTGTTTCATTCGGCCAGCAAAGAGTTCACTCGGGGCATCTAAGTCCGGCCGAGTTTCGAGGAATCTCTTTTTGGAGAAAGGACCCTTTTTAAGCTTTTTGAGAAAGGACCCTTTTGGAATCTCTTTTTGTAGCTTGTTGAGAAATCGCCACATGGTTCCGGTGGAACCCCAGGCAAGATTGTGTATTAGAGGGGCTTGAGCGGCAGTTACTCTTCACAGAGCTACAGTAACTGTGCACTGAGCTCACTCCTGCAGCATCTGAGTATCCCCCCATGTTCTGGGGAGGGTCCCCTTTTTGCGGGAAACATATTATCTTGGTTCGTCCTGTTTCCTTGCGAGATAGAGTTCCAACCCATTTTGGAGTGTCCAAGCCGGCTCGAGACGGCTCCGAATGGTCGGTAATTGGATTCCATTACAAACCGCCCGCTGAAATGGTTATCAATTGTTCTCAGTTATCGTGCTTTTGCAACCGTTTTGCCACAAAAACAAGTAGTTTGACAGCACAAGTCCGGATTGCCATGTTCTTCCTGCAGGATTGGTTCCCCTTCTCCCAGGAACAGGGAAGAACACCAACGCCTGTTCACAAATTCTTGCAACCACCTCGTGTAGCAAAGGTTTCAAAGGCAGACTGAAACCTGGAGCTTCACCTTTTCAGGAAATTCAACAACCCCTAGGTTCTGGGTTGGTTAGAACCATATGAGCAAGCCCCCACCCCAGTTGTGACCTTAGCTACAGCCGAAGCAGGTCGAAGCAGCAGGGAGCCCTGTATTCCAATATCTTGTGGTGGATCTAAGCATCACCCTGTTTTGTCATTTGAGAGAACCCATATGTTTGGTCGGTGTTAAAGGGACACCAATTGAAACCGCTGCCATTTTGGGGGTTGCCCTATTTGGAAAAGTACCCATCTGTTTGGCAACAAGTGCTTGAATCCAAAGAGGTCTACAACCGGGGTGACCAGCCGGACGGCATCCGCTACGAGAAGGCAGAGATGAACCCGGAGGAGGCGGGTGATTTCTTGGAGTTGGAAACTTCTTCTTTTTGAGGTGGTTTTAAAGGGAAGCCAACAGTTTGGGTTTGTGAATTGATACCCTTTTGCGTTTTCTTGTTATGTGGTGGGAGACCAAGAGGAAAACCACCCTTTGACAGGGTCCGAAGTTCCTTTTGCCGATACCTAGGTGAAGAAGACTCTCATGTCGCTGCCGGCGAGGCAGTTCGTGTACATCCTCATCTACGCAGCTTGGGATGTTGAAGTGCAGGGTTGAAGTAGATGGCACAACTCCATCCCTTCACGGCAAAAATAAGTTTGTGCACAATCGGCCCTGCCGATGCTTTTTCGGGATTGTGTAAGCTCCTGGATAAGGGAGTCTACCTCGGCCCCCTAACAAATGTTGTCCCCACATTCATAAAGACGCGTCGGGTATTTTCCAGTGATGCTTTCAGCACTCCCATCAAAATAATGGAAGTCCAAGGCTTCCAGCAGTTTTGTGTTTACCTGGACCGTCAAGCTTCCCTTGCAAATGGGAATTAGCCGTACCACAAGGGGCAACCAGGTCAACCTGAAATTCAATCCTTCAAACGAGGGTCCGTATATTCCTCTCTTTGATGGATGAAACAACCTTTTGAGATGGTGATTGAGTTTTCTCTTGGTATCGCGATTGAGTGTGTTCTTTCAAGGGAGTTTGCCTGAGGCTGCACCCTTAAATGAAAATTGACGTCATAAGTTGAGCAATCTCCTATTAAGGGTGGTTTGAGGGTCCAGGCGAAATCCATTGGATGGTCACTTTGGCGGAGAGCCTGATCAGTTTCGCCGAAGGTCCGTGTGTTTCGACTCTTTTTAAGTTTGGATTCCGTTTTTTTACTAGAACCCACACGAAGACTTGAGCAAACCCCCCTTTCATGCCTTGGATGGTTTCAAGAGGACACGTGTGCCTTGAAGCAGCGCCTCGGCTCAAGGCGGCCGTTTCCGCGGCCGAGGTGGCTGCGGCGCAG